GCCGAGCTCCACCACCACACCACCTATGCACAACAGCCCCGTGGCACCTTTGCCATGTCCCTCACACCACCTCGACTTTGTCGAGCCAATTTTTCAAGCCCCAAGACTCCCAAAAAATCAAGAAGGAAAAATTCAAATTTTTCTTACCTTGGAGCGGCATGGAGAAGAAGAAAAACAACGAGAGACAACTCTTTGCAAGGGCACAAGAAGAAGAAAGCTGGGGGAAAAGGAACAAATTTCCTCTAGCTTCTCTCTTCCTTGTTGGAATTATGATTGTTTTCCAGATTTATTTAATCCCCAGCTTAAGGTAGAATTAAATAGGTATTAAGGGCAATTAGTTTCCTTTTCCTAGAAGAAATCTATCTCGAAATCAAGAAAGGAGATCTAGTTCAAATTGGGAAACAACTCTACAAGCCCATGCAGCTTAGGATTTCTACACCTACTGCCATTTTCCTACAAGCAGCCCAGTAGATGTGGGGGCATTTGTGGAGTCTAAAATAATCCCAAATATTCTATAAGCGACATGTGGACTTTTGTTCAAGAAAGACAAGATTGCCCTCATTAAATGGGCAAGCTCCTCAGATCTCCCACGCGCAGCTCACCCCCCCTCCTTGAAAGTCCCAGCAGCTGAATACGATTGCCCACAACTCACCTACCCTTGGCAAGGAAAAATCAAGGCATTAAAGATAAGGATTAATTACCCAAATCCTATCTTTAATACATTCCCAATTGAAGATTAACTCCATTCAAGTAAGTAATCCCTATTTAAATCAATTAGGGATAATTACTCCATTATCTTAAAATATTATTTCCTATTTAATATCTTGAGAATATTTCTCAATAAAACCTTGGCCAATAGGATGCCGCCATGTGTAGGTTAAAACCCTAACACCATGGCCGGCCACTTCCCTATATATACCACATATTCTACCAAATTTTGGTAAGCTTTTGTTACCCCTAAAAGCCCTAAACACTTTATTATTCTTAGAGAAACTAACTTAGGCATCGGAGATCTATTGACCTAACCCCCTACCTCGTGGGTGCGTGAGGCTTAGGTCCTTAATCAAAGGTGTTAATTGTTTTGCAAGTGCATTTTTATCAAAGCTAGAGATAACGAAAATTTGCATCGACAAACATGGTTAATGGTAGGGTCAACAACCCAACGTAGTCTAATCTGGAAGATATGCACAATCGATTTTCAAATTCCTAAGATCCTTAAATATGCGTACAACCATATACTATAATTTTGAGACGATCCAATGATCAGATCTTTGTCTACTACAAATGTCAATAATCCAAGATTCTTCAACCAAAAGACCTGACCGCTGGATTTCCGTTTCACAATTTCTTAAGGTCCATCAATCGATGAATAGCGTGCTCATTAAACTTGCCAACGATCCAACGGTTGGGTTGGCGTCAACTACAAAAATCAAGAGTCAATACCCATAATTCGAATAACCAAACCATCATATCAAGTTTCAACAAAAATGAACCTTGGATATAGGCTCCGAACATCAAGGAAGTATCGCTATTGAAAATCCAGATAGCCTGAGTTTCCCACGTGCCACCAAACGCGCCACCACACGCGGTGATTTCTGGCTAACGTAAACTGAAATTTCCAACAAACTCCAAACATCACAAAACCACATAGACGTAGAACAAGACAAGGGAAAGATTTTTATAGCTAGGCCGACTTCCAAAAAGTGGTTGAAAGGCAGTGAAAACCACCAGAGAAGTCTCAGAGCCTGTGAATGGTGCACCTACGGTGCAACGTCGTTTGCTCTTCGATGGACAATCAGATAACTCAAATTTCAAGCTGGTGTCGAATTTCAAGTTTGTGCCATAAAGCTATCAGTCTCCCCACCTACCCCTCGTACATATCCTGGTTGGGCTAAGCTTATAGACGGTCGACTATAACGCTCGGGGTATCCTCTTCTAAGACCCATGGGCCTTGGGCTTCTCAATTTTCTTAGGCTTTTCATGGCTTCTTTCTCGGCCGACACCATTATGTGGCCCTAAAAGTGCTCAACATTAACACTTGTATTTTAGTAAGTTTTTATAATATCTTATTTTTTTTGTACATTGTGACATCCCACATCGCCCAGGGGAGTGATCCTTATATGTATATTCCCATCTCTACCTAGCACGAGGCCTTTTGGGAGCTCACTGGCTTCGGGTTCCATGGGAACTCTGAAGTTAAGCGAGTAGCGCGCGAGAGCATTCTCAGGATAGGTGACCCATCGGGAAGTTCTCGTGTGAGTTCCCAGAAACAAAACCGTGAGGGCGTGGTCGGGACCAAAGCGGACAATATCGTGCTACGGTGGTGGAGCGGGCTCGGGAAGTGGTGCCGCCCGGGCCAGGATGTGACAATTTGGTATCAGAGCCTAACCCTGGTCGTGGTGTGCCGACGAGGACGTCGGGCCCCTAAGGGAGGTGGATTGTGACATCCCACATCGCCCAGGGAAGTGCTCCTTATATGTATATTCCCATCTCTACCTAGCACGAGGCCTTTTGGGAGCTCACTGGCTTCGGGTTCCATGAGAACTCCGAAGTTAAGCGAGTAGCGCGCGAGAGCATTCCCAGGATGGGTGACCCATCGGGAAGTTCTCGTGTGAGTTCCCAGAAACAAAACCGTGAGGGCGTGGTCGGGCCCAAAGCAGACAATATTGTGCTACGATGGTGGAGCGGGCTCGGGAAGTGGTGCCGCCCGGGCCGGGATGTGACATACATTGTATATGTGTTGAAGCTTGAAATGTGAAAAGGAAAGATAGTGTGTTTATTTATTTGATAGTGTGTACTTAATTAAAAAACTATAATTACAAAATATAATATTAAATCATGTCAGGATTCTATGAAATATTATAATCCTGGTTTCTTTTTTGCCGAAAGGAATGGCACTAACTATGTCACGTATAAAAAGTAAACAAAACTTAAAGGCAATTCTCTAAAATGATGCGGTTTAGTCGAACTCCTTTTTTTTAGTAGCGTAAAAATATTAATGTACTAAAAAAAAAAAATTTAAAATAATGCGGTTTAAACAGTAAAAAATTTGGACTAAATCAAATGGTCGGGAGTATTAGGTGCTTAACTCTTTCTTCTTTTTTAATATAAAAAGAACAAATAATGTGATGAAAACATCATTCATCTTTACTCATTGTGGTCGCCCTATAAGTGCAATGCGAGTAGCCAGGTTATTTTGGGGATTTACATAAGGGCAGAGTTAGTAATTTTTCATCGGGTGGGCTTGGTTAAAGATTTAAATCTTTATGAATAAAGAATTGATAATGTATTTTTCACAATATCAGTTAGCTTATGAAAAGTTTCACAAGGTGATCCACAATTTTTCGTTATTAAATAAGTACGTGTTAAAATCCAAACAAATTCGAACTTAAAATATATATGTACAAGAAGTGATAAGAAAAATGATGTAAGAAAAAGAGATTGTTTGTATATTGTATAATATAATTTTATATAATTAAACTAAGAGCATTTTGGCTCCGCCAGTGGATTTAAGTAAGGAGTAGGATTCTCTCAACTCTCTTTTTTCCTTTTATTTGAACGGTCACGATTAAATCACGTCAATATCTTATACCTAGTAACAGCTTCATTCTTTTGTGTGATGTGCGTTTTCACTCAGCTTTGTACCTTTATTTATATTAAGGGAAAATTTTTGAAATGTCATATGAACTTGTACACAATTTTCAATTTGTCATATAAACTAAATTTTAGGCAATTTGTCATACCAACTTTCCGAAATCATTAGTTTGTCATCTTACCCTAACTCCATTGAGTTTTCCATCCAATATAAGTCATGTATGACATGTGCCTCACACATGACTTATGTTTAGAGTTATTTGGGTTATTCTAACACTTCACTTCCCTTTTATTAAGTTGGATTCGACAAAAAACTCTAGGGTTTCTAAAGCTACATAAGGGGCTGCTGCTACATTATACTTGTTCTCAGAGATTTTGTTCACATTGATCCCCGTGAATACTCTCAAACACAAAATTTAAGTGTTTGTACTAAGGAAAAATAAAAAAATACCTTGTGAAAAAGATGCTAAAATGACTAAAATAGCCCTAAACACAAGTCATGTGCCTCACACATGACTTCTATTAGATGGAAAACACAATGGAATTAGGGTGAGATGACTAATTAATGATTTCAAAAAGTTGATATGACAAATTGCTTAAAGTTCCAATTTATATGACAAATTAAAAAGTGTATACAAGCTCATATGACAATTCAAAAAATTTCCCTTATATTAATCATAGGTACGGTTATACTTTATTTCAAGTAATAAATGTCATAATAGAATAAAAAGCTTCTAAATTTTATTAGATTCTACTTTACGTTTCTACAATCATATTCCTAGAATAATTCTTTTCGCAACAAGAAAGATGAACTCAATATAAAAGACCACATATACAACATAGTCAAAATCTTAACTAATACCCCTATCATGGAAGCTATTGACTGATCTTGGATGATGTTGAGAAAAACAAGGCAAAATGAAACACACGTATAAACCCTGGGGGAGGTAAGTATGAACTTTTCAAAGCGCAGTCAACAAGACCACACGTACAACATGGTCAAATTCTAACCCTATCACGTACGTTATTGATTGATCTTGGATGATGTTGAGCAAAACAAGGCAAAATGAAACACATGTATAAACCTCGGAGGAGGTTAAAGTACCAACTTTTCAGGGCGCGGCCAAAAGATCACATAGACAACTCGGTCAACATCTCAACTAATAACCCTATCAGTTACACAATTGACTGATCTTGGATGGTGTTGAGAAAAACACATATGTAAACCTCGGGGATGTTAAGTATCGACCGAAAATGAGACTCAAGTTTTGTTTTAGGAGAGAAATGAATATTTAAGCATAATTAAAAAAATAAAAATAAAAAATAAAAAACCCTCAGAATTTTTAACCTGCCATCGCATAAATCCACAACACAACACAGAACTGAACAGGACAAAAAACAAAACATAGAACTGAACTAGAGATTCATAGGCCTGCATTTATATAAAGCTTTAGATACTATACAATTTATATTCGACCAATACAAATATAGTTTTACATCTAACACAGTCACAACACTCACCCCCTACACCCACCCCCACCCCCCGGGGGGGCAGGGGCGCCCGCGGCCAAAAAAAAAAAAAAGCCTTCCAATTTGTTTCCGAGTTTAGACACACAAATCACTCATATCTTACAATAACTCGACTTTATTTAAAAATTATAAGGAAGTGCAACTTCCTATGGTAGCCTGAAAATACCGAATACAAAAAACGATTAGCAATTTCATTCTAAATGTTGAAGAATAAAAGCATCCTAGCAGTACAATTATACTTGACAAACATCATGAATTTGTGATACAGTGAGGAGAGGAGCCAAACGGCAAAAGAAACATGAGGTACAGAAAAAAGGAAAAAACAGCAAAGCCCAGATAAGCACTTGAGCTAATCACAGAAACAAAAAAAAGACCTACATCAACGTCAAAGAAGGGCGTGGCAATCCCATTGGTATCTTTGAACACAAGCTTGCCCCACGAAGGAGATAAGCTCATTCCCTAAATGGCTTTTTTTACTTAAATTAAAGAAAAGAAAATTAGAGTTTTAAAATTGGTAACGTGTAAAATTAGACCTGATCATGCTTGAGATGAACCCTCCACGAGGACAGCAAAATATCCCTTATCTACTCAGCCCCCTAGTATTTTACTAACTTTATTCTTCGTCGTAGCATCAAATAAGCACAAGCAAAAAGTCAAAAGCAAAAGACAAGCAAATAGCATATATTAGCAAGTTAAGGCGGCTCACCCCAGTTTGAGAGACAAGATGTCGGAGCAGTCATCTTCAAGAGAAAGAGGACTGTTGGAGCAGATGGTGACATTTGTAGCTGATTCAGATGTCACGCCTTCTTCTCCACCATTATTCAGGTTTTCCAACTCCTTGATCGCCGTCGGTCCGATATCTCCTCGGGCAGATAACATCACCATCTGCCATGCAAAGACAACAAAGAAAAAAGATCGCCCAGATTTAATTTTTTTTAATTAAGAGTTATTGTTTTTTTCATTAAATAAAAAAAAATAGAAGACCAAATATAGATGGTGGTACGTAGTTGCTTACCCTCTGCTTTAGCTGGTTGTTAGCTTCTACAAGCTCATCTCCCTGCATTTATAATCAGTACAAGGAAGAGGACCACAAAGCAAAAATTCATTAATAATTTAATTAATGTTTATTTTTTTCTTTTCAGGAAATTCTTGACTATTGTAAATATATTTGTGGTTATTCCATAATAGACACAGACAACAATCATCTATTTAACTATAAACCTTTTTCGCAAGTGCCATAATCTCACTCATAATCTTTTTTTCCTGAAATAAATGGAAAATTTGGAATTAGACGGTGCTGTATGTGCATATAATCCAAAATATTTCTTTCGTAAAATAACCTAATTAAAGTACCGAAAATACTTGGATCAACTCTACATTCTTTATAACCAAGAAAAAAAGGTCAAGTCTACATTCAATTTGACCGAAGTATAAATTTGAAAGATAGACATGCAAAGGATAGTCAATCGGAAACCTATTGACCTTTTGATTAAACACAGTGATTTAAAACAGTGTGTACGAGGCACAACGTGTCGATCTATTTATTTGATTAAGCTCAGTCATGGCTCACTCATGCATGGTGCAAAAAATTAGAGAAAGAAATGCACTTACTTTTATAGAATGCTATTAACAAATTTCCTATTTGAACAAAATTAAGACATTTGTCGTACTCTTTGCAAGATTATTATTGTGCAATGATCCGGAAGATTTTTATAGCTTAATTAATAAGCCTCACAATGTGCTCCTCTATCTGAGGATACCTAAATTTTAGAAGCCATGGGACACCTGAATTCATTTGTAACAGAATAAATTAGTTAGCTAGCTAGAACAGACCTTAGTTTCCTTCACACGGCCATGGCTTGCTTCCACCAATTTTTCTAACTTCTGCAGTTCATCCAGGTCCAAGTCATGAAGGTCCTCGCCCTTCAACTGCCTGTTGCATGCCAAACCAATTTCGGCAGACTCTCATCAAACGATCATCCAGCTAATTAACCACCATATATCTTACAAACAGATCGATAAATTATAATTACCTCAGCTTGCGGGTCTTATCCTCAAGTTCCTTACTGAGCCTGATCGTGTTTTCTTTCTCCAACTAATTAAATGGGAAATATATTTATACCGTCATTTATATAGACTAATCTGTCACATGAAAAGCTTATAAACATCAGGCCCAAAAACATCCATTGTTAAAACTCTAACTTGGAGTCATTACTCAACCCCAGTTACTTGCACATATTTAGTCTTAGCGGCCAACCCTGCTGCATGCACATATAGAAGTCTAACATGTAATAATTTTATTTATGTTAAAGTAATATACGATCGTTCAAATGCTGCAAAAAAATATTTCGAAGCTCCAAGTGTTGATCACAAAAAATGTTACATTCACTTGACACAATTAATTGTTGTACGATTAAAAATGTAAGTTTTAGACCAAAGATGATAAAATTAAAAATAATAAAAATTAAAAAAAAATTAAAAAAAAAATAAAAATTAAAAATTAAAAAAAAAAAAACCCATATTGAACTGAATTACCTGCAGCTGATCAAGCATCGGTTGATTCGATTTTTCCCCAATATGTGATTTGTACCTTGCAATCACATCCTTGGTACTTCACAACATAAAAGGATTAAAAAAATAGTTAGCATGCTTCATTATTATTTTATAAAGGTTTAGACAGAAAAAATTAAACAAGAAAAAATTTAAAAGGCACATAAAATTAAATTAATACGTGTGACTAAGCAGTCAGCATAGATAAAAAATCAATACAAGAAAAAAAAACCACATGTTACCCAATTTCCATGCTTCTGGTTTGAAAACACTTTTCAATAAGCCCAATAAATTGGTACATGCATGCTGGATTTGGCTTTGCAAGAGATTGTTGTTTACTCTGTTCTTTTCTGGTTTAAATTTTTTTTTTACAAAACAACCACTTCAAAATGCATGCAAACAGAATAACATCTAGCATAAAATACACCCCCCCCCTCCCTTTTTTCTCTTCCCCAAAAACAAATCATGCACAGTGAAATGCCGAAGAACTAATTTACCAACCAGAAAACAAGAAATCAGAAGAACCAATTAATATAGATTTGTAGATAATTCATTCAAGATTAACCAGCCAAAACAACCATCACTTTAGAGATATCTGGTTCTGTTGCAAACCAACCGGCAAAGCTATTTTGGAGGCCTTATTGCTTGGTCTGGTTACCCAGATCAAAATGTCAAGTCGGAATTTATACATATATATATGAGGTCACCAAACTGAGGAAACACAACAAAAAAGGGCAAAACCAACGATGGGACTATCATGTTAACTAAAAGTACGGCTAAAAAGTCTAAGTCAGTTTCACATCAACTGGGGCATCATTGCAAATATCTTTAATTGTTGTATTTTCTGTCACCACTGTATTTAGGATAATACTTAAGCCAGGAGCATCCCTGCCGGATCCTCTTTGTGAGGATCTTGGAAATCTTTTAATCGCATTCGTTCATCATATATCGTATAATAACTTTTTGGTTTTGACCCAATAATATTTGAACACATGTATTATTATTTAAAAAAAATAATAAGCCATGTTACTTAATTTTTCTTAAGTTTCAAAAACAATGAGTACACGACATCTTTTAATTGAGCCAAATCAAAAAGATAATATACTAGTGAGTACTTAAGCGATACCATTTGTTTGCTTAATTGGTCTTTTTTTGACCCTGAATTGGTCAATGATCAACTATATTTTTAAGAGGTTTTCGATGCAATAAAAAAAAATAAAAATAAAAACAAACAATTCTTGCTAACTTTTGACCAGTTATTTTTCTTGACAAAGTTTTCAAGTTTCTACTTTGTAATTTTAATCTCATCCATTGCCTTACCAAAAAAAAAAAATGAGGATAAAAAGAGAGAATCACATACATCTAATCAACTCATTAAAATAACTCTACTTGCAAGTAATGACTGATTTGATGATTTACTCAGATTTACCAAGTTCATCTAGCTAGAGCCATCCAACTTTACTGGAAAAGATCTAAACATAATGCACTTTGGAGGGATCATCTTGGGGATATGAGAATTAATAGACTAACAGTTTTCCTTCTATATTTTCCAAGAGGTGAAAGATCCCTATGAGTTGTTTCCTGAATACAACCTTAGTATTATAAGTAAATGAATTATATTTCCTTGTTGCAAGATTAATCTAAGCACACTTTATTATTGGTCTAATATATCTTAACTTAGGAGTTAGGAAAGTTATTTTTTGTATCATTGATTCCACAATTGTCAAGTCTTCACTATCTGTTGATGCAAGACCGTCGAGGCACACATTTTGTTTGAAACAGTGTATTTTTAATTAAAAATTATTATTATTATCATTATTATTATATTATTTTACTAGCTATTACTATTTTATTATGATTATTCTTATTATTCAAGAGAGCTTAAAAACTTGAGGTTATGGAGGAAAATATAATAGTTATGGTTGTGGATATATTTCTTGCAGCTAGGAGAAGTCCTCCTCCACGCCTACAGTTGAAGTAATAGGAAATGCTTGCTGCACCAATATCCCCTTAGTAGACGTCTAAGATATAGAGGTTGAGCCAGTGTCTATATCTGGTGAGTAAAAAGAGGTGCTAAAAAGAAAAACAAAAAAAAAGAAAGTATTTATGGTGAGGAAAAAGGCGTCGAAAACTACTTGTTTTCAATGAGTATTTGAATCTTCTTATATTTTATAAATGAAAGAATACATACTTCATTTTCAATGCGTAAAAGAACATTAGATAGTATATCTTTAGTCATATCTCATTTTCAATGCCTAAAAGAACGCCAAAAAGTATCACTTTCTCTTCCCATCATGGAAAAGCTATAAATAATGGATTTGGACTTCCATGCTCCAAAAGTAGCTTTTTGTTCTTTCTTAATTAACAAAAGCATTTCCAATTCGTTCCTTTGTTGGTTTAGATAATGTTTATAGACGTGTGTTTTTGAAAGGCCAACATGGTTCGCCTTAGATGGGCGATATCCACTTCGTGTTGTGTTTAGTTATTTGACAAGTGTATACCACTTGGAAATCTCTTAGACGTAGGAGACTTTTTACAAGAAGAATAGGAGAGGTGAGAGAAGTGGAGATTGGTTCGAGAGGAAGTAAGCCTAACCTACAGTTTGGAGGTGGCTGGCTGCTTTATATATCCATGGGAAACCCTCAGCCGGTTGACATGTGGCTCAATCCAGGTGATGAATAGTGAAAACCACTGTTCTAAAAGAGAAATTTTTAGTTGTGATGGGAACACAGATGATACATCACGTGTTTTTATGCAAGTAGTGGAAAATTTTAAGTTATTAACCTTTTAACACACATAACTCACCATTTACATAGAGACACGCGGTGTGCCACCTTGTGTGACAGTCACACTGAAAAATCTCTCGTTCTAAAAATCCCCACCTAGCGCCGAGGCGACACTAGGCGGCTGGTCACTACCCCGATTAATGCTTAGGTGGTTGAAAATTAAGAAAGGGCGCCTAGACCAACTGGGGTGCCCACCTAGGCACCTGCCTAACCCGTCCAAACCAGCTAAGGTGGCCGCCTAGCCTATCCAGACTCACCTACTTAGATTGCGACTCACTTAGACAGAAAATAGATAACTTTCAATTTGCATTTAATTTTTTTAAATAAATTATAAGAGACTTGTTGAATACTTAAATGGGCATATGCTTATTCCTCATGTTTTCATTATGTTCCAATACTTTATAATACATGTCATTCTATTTTGTAGTTTATAATGAAATTATATATATATTAAGTATAAACACTTCTTTACACAAAATATAATGGATTTACTTAAATCCGCCTAATCCGCCTAAGCACCCGCCTAAACCCTACCTAGCCGCCTAGACGCTGGGCCCCAGCCCGTCGCCCGACTAGCGCCTAACTTCTTTTAGAACCTTGAAAACATAAGAAGTCAGCAACAAAAATGTTATTATTATCATATTTTTATACTATATTTGTACTGTTTTTTTAATAGAAGTGAAACCCACATGTATTGGTAGATTTTCTTTTATTAGAGATGTGGCACAAATGTGATATAAAAATTTGATAAGTACAACGTTACTTGGTCAACAATAGCTTTGCCAGCCTTGAGGCACCATTTTGGTTGACATCAGCTGTTGGCACAAAAATGATGGAGTATGGATACACCACATTTATCTAAGGGTAATGATAGGAAGACCAAAAATTTAAACCAAATGATATGTCACCAATAGAAAATAAACACGTTAATCAAAGCTTAAGTGATAATCTAATCATTAACAAACACATTATTTGGTTTACAAATTTGTTTTAAAATTTTGGTCTTCCTAACATTACATTTTATCTAAAGAATTATTCGGTAATATCGTACTACCACGCCATCCATAAACAACATAAAGCCAATAGATTTACCCAATTTCAGTGCCTCCATTATCAAATAAAATTAGAATTTTAGTTCCCCATCAACAAAATTCTTCTGAAATAATCAAAACCCATTAAACCACTGACACCCACAAAAGCACCATAAATGATTAATCGATAGGAAGTTCACTGGCTGAGTGAATTCCGACCCCTAGAAGGCCAAAGGAAAACAGGCCCAAGGAAGAGAAACCAAGTGAAGAAAGGAAGACAAAGACCCAAAGGAAGGAAGACCAAGGCCCAACAAAAGCAAGAAGGACGATCCCGAGTGCTGCAGACTATCGGTCGGCGATCTAGTCCTGCCGGCAACAAAGCCAAGCGTTTCCTCATAAAAGTAGTTTTCGATCGCTGATGGCGAGTTGACATCCTGACAACTTTATAGCACGAAGTCCAAGGGTCGAACCTACTCGGTCATCAACTCCAAGCCACGGGGATGGCTATTGACAAAAGAGAAAGCCTATGAAAGGACATAAAGGCTTATAGGTCAAGCACAAGTGTAAGGTCCTCACAAACCCCAGTGCCGAGCAGGTGCTTGGTATGCGTTGTCCCTAGAAAACATGCAAATGGACCTGAACGGGTGTCACATCACCACCACATGTTGACTAAAGGGCAGATGGACAACTAGTAGGTCATGTCTACATATTCAGTGCATTAAATGTGAAGAGGTGGAAGACTCAAACCCAAAGACTTAAGGCTCATTAAGGGTCTATATAAGAGAGATGAATGCCATTGAGAACAGGTCGAACAAAAAGAGAGAAAAAAAAGACTACTAGATTACTTCGAGCCTATTTGTAACCTTGTCTGAGCACCCCAGTAGACGTAATCCAGTTTATAGAGGTGAACCATTTAAATCTTGTTGTTTAGTTCTTATCATTTCAACCTTAAGCCCACTAAAAGCCGACCATACTGATCTTTGTTAAACTCTCCAAATTTGAGCGTTAACATTCACTATTAATCTCTCATCAATTGGGAGTTGTATCGAGTGGAAGGGAAAAAAAGGAGGGTCGATAGCCATGGAAACTAATGGTGAACAAGTGGGAATGGAGTCGTGGAGGTGGAGAACTGCAATTGATATTTGTGGGAAACGGAGGCCGGTCACTAGGTATTTTCTTTTTCAAGTATTTAATTTATTTTTAATTCTTAAAATAAAATATAAAGTCCAACTGCGAATAAAGTGGTTCGCATGTCAAATTTTGAATAGGAGTCTCACAAATGGCATGGTAGTACAACCAGAAGGATCATCTCCGGATTCTCAAATCATGTATGTTCATCGTATATCATGCGATTAGTTTTCATCAAATACTATTCATCTTTAATTTAAAATAATTTTTAACCGCACTATGTACAATGAACGGATACCATTTGAAGATCTCCAGGATCCTCACAAAAAGAATCCAGAAAAGATCCTCATTCGTAGTACAGTACTACTTAATAATTTCTTCAATACCAGACCATATCTAATCGACATCTGGCATCTCAAATGGTGATGGGGTGTAAGGGCTTTATGGTTAGGAAAACAAAAGCTTTGACCTTTCGTTGCAGGACTAATCAACAACGAGAGCAACTCCGCTCAGGTCTCTCGGGGGCGACCCAACTTAGTCGAGCTGACATGATGATCAGCTTCTCACTTCCTATGGCCTGTCCAATTCCAAACAGAGGGAACGAGGTCAACTCACCTTGGTTATCAGGTGGGGATGACCACAACTTAGTCAAGTTGACATGGACGATGTCACTCTTCCAGTTGTTCGTCATAGTCAAACAAGGCAATGAGGTCAACTCGAACTGCCGATGGTATGCATTCTTTGGTCGCATAGAAGGGCCCCTCTATATGTGGGAGTACGTCGGCCCTAATACGCGACGATTCCTTATTGATGTATTCGGCTTGGAGAGAGTATAGGTAAAGAATAAATAGTAAAAGTAGAAAGATCTAGATGACAAAGCGCTAATTCACTCTCTACCAACAAGATGTATTGGCCTCTTAGAATCTAGCTTCAGAAGAATTTTCATCAGCACAATAGATGAGTTAAAAGACACCAGCATACAATAAGGGCAATTTTTATATACACGTTGATTTCAAATGACAAATTGATATACTAAATCTTATATCTCAGGTTAAAACGATCACTTGAGAAGTGGTGTTTAGTCTTATATTTCAGTTTTATTAATAAAATGACATCATCGCTTACTATGTGGAGCGACATTTTTTTTCCCTAACATAAACAAAGAACAACTTTATCTAAATTCTTATTCCACAATCACATTTCTACATATCAATCTCTCCCTTCCTCTCATGCACATTATTTAAGTAGGTTTTGATCTTTGCAACTACTCAAGTTTGTTCATTATTTCATGAATGCATATGAAAAACAGGTTATATATGGCCATAGCTGAACCACTCATTGCCCTACTTGACGCATGCATACATATTCCTTCTCAAAGGATCTTCAAGGCTTCTATGATGAATTCCCAAGTTTTCATCATATCACTTTACTCCTAGTAAGAAAAATCCAAAGCATATATAATTGAATTTTTGTATTTTTAAGTCCTTACAAATTATCCGTATTCATTATTTACAGGCATTTTACTTTAGGAGGGGAGAATGAAGGACTACTTTTGGAACATAACACAACATCATGTGTTGAAGTTGGCACGGATATAGATATGCATACATATACATATTGATATGTATATCGTATGTAGAGAGTGATACACTCTTTTACTAGATAAGAGTATTTTATCTATCATTTTATGTTGTATTATTTATTTAAAATTGATTATCTAAATTTCAGTAACAATGATGGTCTAATCTAAGAAAATAATATATTGCCTGTCTAAAAAGGAAAACGGTGTACACACATTTAAAAGGATATATATATTTTTCATTTCATAAACCCCAACTAATTTTGTATATTATTATCCGATCATCAACCGTCACATGTGGCAAAAAAATATGATCTAAAAATATACTTTTCCTAGCATTTTGTAACCATTAAACTGCACAATCGTAATAAGATTACATAATTAAACAAGTGGCTCTTATATATACAAAGTTCTGCATGGCAGACACGATTGCATGTAGCATAAGCAAAGAGATCAGCATCACCAAGTAACGTACAAATAATCCCCACAACTTCAAAGATTGAAAACATGTAAAACTAATAAAATGTTTCTCAAACTTGGACAACTTGATGTCTCAATCAAAAGTATACCTCACTTTCTTGAACTGGATATTCTAGATATATAGGTATATCCTCGTACGTACCAGTTAAAACTCTCACTCTCTCTGTGAAAGATTTTGGATTTTCTAACCCTTCTTCTGTGCCTTATCAAGCTGACACCATAAATTATGTGTCTTTGTTTACATGCGTGGATTATCTATCAAGCTAGTTAGCACTCTCCTCCTTTTATATATAAAGTGTTATTCGCACATTCATTCTTACTTTTCACATTTTTATTAATTTTTTATCATTGATCTTTCTTCAATTCGTTCGAACTAAAAGCCGAAATTTGAGAGAGTGTTGAGAGGTAAAAATAAGTGTGGATATCACTACAAAATATATAGTCGACGAATCCGTGACACATTTTTCTCCCCAATTGTTTGACCCTGGTGAATCTCTCCCACTCAGATAGAAGTCAAGTCATGTACTTGGTTAGATTCGTTCAAGCTAGGAAAATTACAAACGAATTTAGAAGGCGGTGGGATGTTGTACAGTAGTATCGGTACCTGGAGCTTGAGAAATCAAAGAGCTTGCCAGTTTGAGAAAAGATGATAACAGCAACTTCAGATTCACACAGAATCGACAGCTCTTCAGCTTTCTTGAAAATCCCTCTTCTCCTCTTTGAGAAGGTCACCTGCCTTGCCGGCAAGTAGTCGATCCTCCTGATCTTGATCTTCTCTTTCCTTATTTTCACCATTTCTTCCTACCCCTTCAAAAACAATTAATTCAAATAAATAAAAATAAACCAACCATGCACTTTTCACATATATAACTGTTCACAAACTCAAAAACTACCGTATATTTTCTGGGTATTTTTATAAGTTTAAAGATATTGACCTCAAACCCTAGCATCTCAGATCTAAATAAGAAAATCAAAACCCAGAAAAACCAACCAACCACAAACAACTGCCCAACAAGCCTAAAGTATTTTGTATTTACCACCAATCGAAGAGAAGAAGAAAAAAAAAAACCATACATAAATTATTTACTGGGTTTTCCGTTGTTATTTGTTTACCTTCGTCGGGGAGTTTCAGGTCTGAAGTTTTGGGAAATTTGCAGAGCAGTGAAAGGAAACCAAAGATATTTTGGAAAGAGAAGAACAGAGAGGAGAGAGAGAGTTCGGGTGCTGCCGGTTGTTCTAGAAAGGATAGGTTGGCGAATTAAATTTCCTATTTATAGAAAAATAAGATATATCTCGCTTTAATATCAACTGTTTGTTTCTCTTTCCTATTTTTGGATATTTTTAAGGTAAGAAACGTGGAACGCAAATCAGTTGGCGTGATGAGTGATGAATGCGATCACCACCGTTCATAATATATGTGGAATGGACGACAGTAAAAATATGGAATCTCTTAGATTTGTTCATATCTAACTGAGTGGGGATTCTCGGTTTATTTCTTTTTAGGTGTCGTCACATCCACCTCGTCTCTCTCACTTCTTTATCCTAAAGAGCAGCGGTAGCAGCAATCGCTGCAACACCGGCCATCCACCGTCGGCCAAACCCTCTTCCACCGTTGCCATCCCGGCCGGCCCTCTCGTCTTCCCTGCAGTGCAATCTCTTCATATGCTTTTATTTATTTATTTATTTATAATAAATAAATAAATTATGGTCGGTACTTCTATTCCTCCCTTCCTCTTCTCTGAAATCTCTTCATGCGACTGAATGTTGATTTTGTTTAGGCGTTGGTTTGTTTTAAGGATAATAATTAAGTACTTGTTAGTGAGTATTTTATGTATTCATTTTCTGATATGGTTCGATAAAAAAAATATATAATGTCCCTTGCATTTTAAAACTTCAGAAAAATTAATAAAATGTTCATTATTTTTTAAAACAATAAAATATGTGTTAATTTATCATTGGACAAAATTAAAGTCGAGTGATGTTATGTTTTATCACAGCGACACGTGTCAATTCCAGGCTGTGAATGTAATGCGTTCAACTTTGTTTGAAGGAATTACAGAAATGGTTGTTCTAGAGCACCCAGAAATGTCTTCCAATAACTCGACTTTATTTACTAAATTAAAAACGGTGATCGTCACGTATCTGCCGGATCATTGCACAATAATACGCATTAAGCCTCGGAATCTATGTGCTCCTTTATCCGAGGGATCGCAGAATCAATTCGCACGGCCAAGTCTTTGCTTCCACCAACTCACAAGTCGATCAATTATAATTACCTGATCAACTTGCGGTGTTATCCTCGAGTTCCTTACTCGGCCTGATCTTGTTTTCTTTCTCCAACTAATTAATCTAATCTGTCACATGAAAACTTAGCACTTCAATGGAAGTTGAACTGTAAGTGGAGTCATTACTCAACAAGTACTTGCACATATTTAACCCAAGAGGCCAACCCTGTAGCTGCATGCATATTTGTACATAAAACTCTACGAGAGAGGATCCTCGTCGGATCCTCTTTGTGAGCATCCGAGGATCCTCCAATCATATCCGTTCATCGTACGTCGTGCGGTTAGTTTTCGTCAAGTACTGTTTATATTCAATTTTAAATAAAAGAATTTACAATAATTTCTGACCGCACGATGCACGATAAAAGAATGTAATTTGAAGATCCTCAGAATCCTGACAAAGAAGATCATCCTCACTCAAACTTTACCCTAATTCTTAATAAAATATTATTTTTCAATTAATGCCTTACGTAAGATTAAAACTTGACTTTACTCCTTTGACCACATGCCATGTCATTATATGCATTGACTTAAATTAGATTTTTTTTTTTTTTTTTTGAGTAAAGACCAAATTTATAGAGTAAATTTGCAAACTAAATGATATATCACCAATAAAAATAAGCACATTTATCAATGTATAAATAATAAATCAATCATCAACTTCCATGTCCATTAGCTTTCAAAACTTTATTTACAAATTTAATCACTCTAGCATTACCTTTTTTTTTTTTTTTTTTTAACTTTGCTGAACTCTTATTCTTTTTTCCATGGGGGAAGGAAACGTTTACTGTGAATCCTCAATTTGTGGATTTTTCATTCATTTTTATACATATAAGTGTTCAAGTTAAATACTTTAATAATTATTCTCACAATATTCAAATTTGGAATAAACGCCTTTCATGTCTGTCATTAGTTGTTTCTTTTCTTTTTGTTTTATTTTTTTTTTTACTTTTTGGTGTATTAAAAAAAATTAGTAAGTAATATTTTCAATAAATGCACTCCAAATTACAAAACTCGAATCAACACGGTTGTGTTGAAAACCCTCTAATATAAACTCAATGAGACTTTGTAAAGTTTAGTGCATTCTATGTATATTATGTAAACAATGAAAAGTTGTTTAGTGACTACAAGGGACTTCCCTATTTATAGAAGTTGAGATGTCTCTTTGGAAAGCATTTGATTATTCATGAAAAGTCAAAAGTTGTAACTATTCATTTGAATTCATATTAGATAGAAACATAATTCCACATAATACACCACTTCTAGTTTCCATTCAATTAATAAACTTAATATTATAATAATAACAATAGTAATAATAATAATAATAATAATAATAATAATATTATTATTATTATTATTTTCCACTATCCCCCACCATCCCCCACATTAATAGAAATTGACTCAACATTATGCAACACTAGGGATGGATTCAGTAGGAAAAGTATTGCATCGGGATAGGTAGTTTTTAGCCTTGAACCTTCCGTTGTGAATAACTATCGAATTTACTTAGCTAATCAGTAAATGTGATGTCTTCAACAGCTCTGTCATTTGTGCAAAACAAGACAATAATAATCACACAATACCCTTCCAAACGCCCTCGAGGTTGCTCTATTGTGATATTTCGTCCATGAAAAAAATCCTAGTTTATCATGAGTGCTCTAGAGAATTAAGTTCTTTTCAGCCCCATTTCTCACTCAAGATAGGTGACTTGTCATTAATAGTATCATGCAATACCCTACTTGGACTTCTAAGTCTTCCAAGCTATAAGAATCATTGAAAGCATAAAGTTTAACTTGATCTCGATTGCAAACAACATTGTTATCATTGCGAGATTGGGTGCAAGAGTATTATATATAGTGCTACTCTAAGTTGTCATAATTTACTTGTCCCTTTTGAACCTATATTGGGATCTCCAGTAAATTAGGTTGGATTTCCACTATGACTACTCTAATTAAGAGCTTTTAACCCATTCTCTCAATGATACAACTTGCTCTCTAGTCCACATTTTAGTAATTGGTACACCATTTGGTTGACTACTCATACTATATGCCCATCACAAAACTCATTCATGTGTGGAAATAAATTTTGTTTGAGAGTTGTTGTTTTCTAAGGTTAAGGCCTTCAAACATGTATTGGAACTTAATTACTAAGTAATTTGCTAACACTTGGGTAACTCCCCCACATTTGAAGTATTTATTGGAAAGTCTCTTTCATTACCTTAAACAGTACTCATTACAAATTTAACATTTAATCTAACAAAATGTATCGTTTGACCAAAAAAAAGTATATATCAACTCATAAAGATAGCTAGTTACCCCACAATCCCCTTCCACTATGGTTGCTTTGAAACCATCAATAGTTCACTATCATACTTTTAGAAGCAAGAAGATGTGACAGATAGGTTCTCTACCTTCACTTGTGCCTAGTCTTTTAGCCTACCTTCATGGTTCTTAGCACTTTTAACTTTATAAGTCTCATGGGTAGCGCCTTGCTTTAGATTGCTTAATTCTTTCAACGTAGGCATTGACTAAGAACTCATCTAAAGTGAGTTCAAATCTTTATTTGACTAAGAACTGCACCTATTTATGTTGCCACAACGCGAAGTCCATTCATTGACTTTCCCATAGCTAACATATATATACAACGACAAGACACTCTATTGTCATAATTCTGATTGCCTTGTCTGTTACATCAGAACAACTATATGCATGAAGCACCTCTTCAAGCATTTGTGGAAGTCTTTGCTATTTATGCAACAAACATCATATTGATGACTTTTCAAGCATTCGTAAGGAATGCATCATTGCATTATTGAATTGCCCTACTAGCCCTAGTGGATGTTCACAGAACCCTGAAACAACAGAGTTCTTCCCGAACAACACCATCTCTGTAACCGAATAGTTACAGCCTGGAAAAGGGCCGAACGATCCATACAAAGCGATCCTGCCTTTCTATATGAATGATTTGATCAAACTTTAAACCAAAAGTTAAAACCTTGACAGTTTATTAAGTTCCAAAACATGCAAAAACAAATGATCCATTGTCAAAATGAATGAGTTATGATGAAACCCTCTGAATCAGTTTTTTGAACAAATATTCATCGGTTCAAAACTATGTCAAAAACATCAATCCAAACTATTGTAAGACATACGTATATTGCACACTATGCAAACTCATCAAATGCATGCAAAGTCGCACTCATGTAACTAAACAGTGTAACTTTTCAATCAAAGTAAATGGCAATTCATTCATCTACTAAATGAATACATACACACACACACACACACACACACACACACAACTGATTGTCATAAAGAAACGAAACTTAGTTTCTTAAATTAAGAAGTTTTTGAATCACGTATAGCAAATAAACCAAAAACCAATAAGTTTGTCTTAAAATTGTTGGAAAGTTAGGGTCTAATTGCTATTTTAATCACATATAAAATTCATAAAGTAATATGCAAGTAAATAAACAATTTAAATCATGCACATGGTCAACTAAAGTTTAATGAACACAACATAATAGATTAGAAAAACCTAAAAACCGGTTGAAGCAAATATTTGACATTTTAAGATAAGTTAACGCTTTACTACGGTGCTCATGGTTAATCGGCGTTCATCTAACGGGATACAACGACCACATCTTTGTAAAACCAACATTCCAAATCACAAGGCTCCGATAAACCGTGATTGTGTTGAAAATTCTCTCATATGAACTCAATAAAACTCTAATATTTAGTACACTCTATGTATGATTATATAAACAATGAAGAGTTATTTAGTGACTATAGGGGTTCCCCTATATATAATAATTGAGAGATCTCTTTAAAAAGTATGTGACTATTTATAATGAGTTAAAAGTTGCAACTATTAATTTGAATTTTATTAAGACCTTCCCTAAATGTTCTTAAAAGAAAAGAAAATTGAAGTTTTTCAAATTGGTATTGTGTGAAATTCGACCTTATCATGTTGAAATGAATCAGCTTGAGAGAATAACCACCCCCCAATGATAAGTAAGCAAACCCTCCGCACGACGACAGCAAAATATCTCTTATTTACACAGTTCCCGAGTATTTTACTAACTTTATTCTTTGCAATCACACCATCAAATAAGCAAAAAGCAAAAAGCAAAAGCAAAAGCTAAAACTCAAAAACAAATAGCATATATATTAGCGAGTTAAGAACCTCACCCCAGTTTGAGAAAAAAGAAGTCGTAGCAGTCATTTTCAAGAGAGAGCACGGCTGGAGCAGGTGGTCACATTTGTGGCTGATTCAGATGTCACGCCTTCTTCTCCAACATTCAGGTTTTCCTACTCCACGATCGCCGCAGGTCTGATATCTCCTCCGGCGATAGCATCACCATCTGCCATGCAAAAAACCAAAAAGAAAGAAATCGTCCAGATTTAATTTTTTAATTAAGAGTGTCTATTTTTCATTAAATAAAAGACTTTGGATGCAGTCTTAGTCACTAATACTCATTGATTAAAATCTTAGTGGTTTTCAATTTTTTATCAAAATCCTTTAACTTTGTACACCTCAACATATTAATATATTTTCATGTCAACAATAAAACTTGAGATTTTATGGTATTTAAAATCTCAGATCTAATGAGCTATAGAAAAAAAGGGCCAACAAAAAATATGGAAATTTTTTCAAAATTTTGATTGAATAAAAAATCAATATAACAATATAATTCCTTTTGAAAATGTATATTAATAGATGTTAAGTACATGTTCGCATATCTATATATATATGTATCAATCAATTGGAAACAGTGTTAAAAAAGTGCCAAAAGAATGTATCCAAATTGTTAAGAATTTGACCAAAAGAAAACATTGTTATGAATGATAAAATGGTTGTCACATGTCAAAAGAATGTACTCGTACATTCACCATATATAAATATCTATGGGGGTACAATTCCGACATTGTTGCAAAAGTAAAATGTGTTAATATGTAACCCATAAAAATGTTTAAAAAAAATGTACCCATATAATTATATGAGTACAGTGGTGCACGTAATTATAAATTTAAAAAATATGGGTTCATTTTATACAAAAAATGGGGAAGTTTTATATTAAAAAAATGGGTACATTTTATATAAACAACAATGGACACATTATAGATTAAAAAAATAAATAGATTTACATTAAAAAATTGGTAAATTTTACATATAACAAGTGGTACATTTTTAAAGATACATGGGTACATTATAAATAAATTATAGGCACAAATAAAATGGGAAAAAATATTATGAGTACAAATAAAAAAATTTTAAAATATGGGAACAAAAAAATTAATATATGATTACAATTTAAAACTATAAAGAAAAATGATACAAATTAAAAAAAAAGGGTTGCAAATTAAAATTGGGTACAAATTAAAAATAGAAATATATGATACAAAGTTTAGTCATAAATATAAATATACCAAATGTAATGTTTCTAACACTACATGAACATATTTAGTAATAAAATTTAATTATCTTGACATGTAAATATTTTATTATTGAAATAATGACATTCATTAAAACCTAAGGAACTTGATCAAAAGTTGAAAAGGAATAAAGTTTTAATCAATGGAGAAGGAATAAAAAAAAGGATGGTAGCCTAATTTCTCCTTAAAAAAAAAAAAAAAAAAAAAAAAAAAAAGAAGAAATATAGATGGTGGTAGTTGCTTACCCTCTGTCTCAGTTGCTTGTTAACTTCTATAAGCCCAGCTCCCTGCATGTATAATCAGTGAATGGAAGAGGACAACAAAGCAAAAATTCATTAATAATTTATTTTATGTTTATTATTTTCTTTTCGGGAAATTATTGACTATTGTATGTATTTGTGATCATTCCATATATAGACACATACAACAATCATGTATTTAAACCACAAACCTTTTTAGCAAGTGCCACAATCTCACTCATAATCCTTTCTTCTTGAAAAAATGGAAATTTGGAATTAGATTTTGCTGTATAGACATATGAACCAAAATGTCTTCCGTAAATGACCTAATTAAAGTACGGAAAATACTTGGATCAAGTCTACATTCTTTACAACCACAAAGAAAAGGTCAAGTCTACATTCAAATTGTCTTATAAAAATTTCGTATTACTATTATGAAGCATTACTATTATGAAGTGCTAATAAAAATTTCGTAATGAACAGAATTAATACATTTGTCTTATCCTTTGCAAGAATGATATTTAAACAATGACTAATTAAACAACAAATCTTCCGGATCATTGCACAATAATACGTCTTGCCTCACAATGTGCTTCTCTATCCTAAAGGATACCTAGTTTTTTCTTTCACTTTTGATTTTTACAGTTAGGTTATTCATTTTCCATTTAGGTACTATGATTTAATTCTAGACTTAAACCTTTTGGCGCAAGAAGAAGGAGTAGACCTGTATCATCTTGGCTTGGTTTTGATTTCTAGGCTTCGGGAGCAACTAAGATGAAGAGCTGAACTTCCCACAATAAGAAGAAAAGCCTAAGGCGGTAGACCAAATGCAACTTAGAGAAGGGAACAAGTTCTAGTCATTTATGCGGCTTATCAATGGATGATGGAAAAACCAGCTATCCTAAATTATATAGTTGGGACCAAACCAATTTTTATAACTCCAGGGAGGTTATTACTTAATAGAGTTGTAATTAAAAAGTTTATTTATTGACTTATTATGAATGTTGTATTTCCTAAATACGATTCTTTGGGTGCCAAGTATTTTTTTTCTTGCATATTTTTGTACTCGTTGACAATTATAATGATGTGGAGACATGTTTCCTTAAGATAGGACCAAGAAAAATTATAACTTATTATAATATGGAGTTTATTTCAATACCTATTTGAAATATTATTTATTAACTTATTTATCCTTAATGAATGTTGTATTTCCTAAATAGGATTTCTTGGTCGCCAAGTATTTTATTTCTTGTATTTTTTGCACTCATTGACAATTATAATTATGTGAAGGCGTGTTTCCTTAAAATGAGACCAAGAAATTATAATTTATTACAATGTGAAGTTTATTCGAATACATAATTGGTCCCAAGTTGGGATCGGAATTTTTTATGACTTTAAGGAAGTTATTTTATTATGGAGTATTACTATAAAGAGGTTTGACTGTATTTTTTTTTTTTTCTGTGGTATATGACACGAGAAATTTTAAATCCTTATGATCATTAAAAAAATTTAATATGTCGCTTAATTTTTATTTACTATTGTGCATTTATCCATCCAAAATTAACAATAACCAAAAAAGAGATGTAAAAATCATAATTTTTTTTAATTTATAAATTGTAACAAATAAGCTAACGTTGACACATTATTTGGTTTGCAAAATTTGGTTTAAAAATTTAGCCACCCTAACATATCCATTTAGAATAAAGTACCCCAAAAACAAAAGGACAAAAACATACACAGTGAAATGCAGAATAACTAATTTACCAACAAGAAAACAAAACTAGAACCAAGTAATCCAGATTTGGAGATAATTCATCAAGATTAACCAGCCACAACAGTCTCGCTTTGGATATATTTGGTTCTGTTGCAAACCAACTAGCCAAAAAGCCCAAAACATTAGGGCAAAGCTTTCTGGAGGCCTATTAATTGCTTGGTCTGGTTACCCAGATCAAAATGTCAAGCTGGAATATTGTACATGAGATCTTCAACTAGGACGAGAAATGCTAAGATGACTCTTTAAAAAGTGGAACTCTCTTAGATTCTCTGATATCTCATGTTTTTTACACAATGTTTTATAATGTTAACACGAAAATTAACGTTAAACTGTGAGATGCCAGATAATCCATGAATAATTTCACTTTCCCCCTTGGCATTTCTCACTGAGGATACACAACAACATAAAGGCAAAACCAACGTTGGGACTATCAAGTTAACCAAAAAAGTGGGTTTGGATCCCATCCGGATCCAAGTTGTGGGAATTCTAAAGATTCTTACATCCTAGCCGTTTATCGTACATCGTGCGATTAGAAATCATTTTGAATTTATTTATTTAAAATTAAACACAAAAAATACTTAACAAAAACTGATCATACGATTTACGATGAACGACCTTAATGTGAGAGAAAATCCGAATAGGATCGTCAACCCGAAAAAGTAGGATAAAATGTTTAAGTCAGTGCTCACATCAACTTGGAATCATTGCAAATATGCTTTTAATTGTTATATTCCCTATGGCCACTTTTTTGGTGGGTGCATTGATTACCAATCCTAGACTTGTCAATGCTTTTGCTACCATAGTTAGCAAAATCCGAATACAATAAGTACATATTTCTTAAAAGCAATTGTTATTTGCATTTCAAAAATCTCATTCTACACTCCACACTTTCTATATTTGGAAAGAAAAATACATTTGTGTAAAGTGTAAAAAGAAAAATACACTTGTGAAGAGTGTAGAATGAGATTTTTGGAATGTCAATAACATTTCCCTTCTTAAAAATACTATTATTATCCGTACACGACTTAATTAGTCATTAAATCACATGAATTTTTTAAGAGAAGTGTTATTGACACTCCAAAAATCTCATTCTACACTTCTTCACACGTGTATTTTTCTTCCCAAATATAGAAAATTTGGAGTGTAAAATGAGATTTTTGAAATGACAATAACAGTTCCCTTTTTTAAAACTCCCAAGATACAATACACGCACGTACATATTTTAACATTTAATGCACATTACCTACATATATAATTAATAATATATAAAATTTACATTTTCTTGTACTAAGAACAATTATATTTTCTATATATATACGGAATACTTAATATTAAAAACAATTAAATTTTAAAATTAAAAAAAAGGGCCAAGTTTTCAAAATATTATTTTATGCTCGAAATTTGATAAGCAAAGATTAACGAACAATACTGCTAAACGGCCAAAACAACCTTGAAAAGGTTGACTTCCCCATTGTAAGTAGATCCACAATTTGACATCAGCACTTGAAAACGTTGAACAATGTTAAGAACCTACACTTGTTGCAGACAATTTTCCATTAGTTAATGACACCACATTTGCTCAACTCCCCTCAAAACTAGTGTTAATGGACTATACATTATAGCATATCTCTATTAATTAAGGGGTGTGATATCCACACACCTCATTTTACTTCTCACACACCTTTTTAATTTTCGACCGTTGGATCGGATGAATTAAAGAAGATCAATGAACATAAATTATCAAGGGGTGTGTGAGAAATAAAATTGGATGTGTGGATAGCACACCCTTAATTAATGAAACTCTCTTTGTCAACCAAAAGATGATGAAAAGACTACTTAATCTTCTATCACACAAAAAAAATGATAGACAATAATGTAATTTCACAGATCCAAATTTTACTGTTTTTATTAAAACCTCACCTACATGTGATGTTAAAATACCTCAGATATTAAAAATAAATAAAAATAAAAAACAATAAACAAAAACCTCTCACTCCCCCACGTTCTCTCTCTCCCTCTCTCCTTCTCATTTTCTAAAAAAATGTGTTCATACACACAAAGTGTGTAGGCAAATGCTAGTATAACTTATGACACACCCCAACCCAGATATTCAAATGAAAACCTAGATCATATCATGTTGGCCGACACTTGTAAGGTGACGCAAGCCAAAACAAGCACAAATGATGTGAAACTATAAATTCAAGGTATGGCATTACTAAAAATTGGCATATTTTGCCGTAAAAAGTGATTAAAACCAACCTGCATAAAGTTCACAATTGTTTAACAACAGAACATCCTGAATGGCCACATCTAATGGGTCGGAGACCCTCCACTACAAGCATGTTCATAGTTCAATTCATAAGTAGTACTAATGTGCATGCGGAAGCCAAAATTCTCAAAAGAAAGTCTAGATGTTCTATCCATCGATACAATCACCGATACAATCACCGCTACTAGGTCCTGAAGGGGGCGCAAAACAAGAAGAGTGTGAGCGGACAAAAGGAAAGTTTTCAAAAAATTTCTCTTTTTTAACATACTAACCCCCTTGCTGAAAATCCGTAGTGTAAAATCCATACTACATATAGATACATAGATAAATCTCAAAACTGTATAAATAACCATGGATTTCAAATCACAATAAGTCCCCCAATGGAAAAGCAAACACATATGCCTATGTCGCAACTCGAACCCATTTATATGTACTTAGCCGGGACTCTAACTCAAAACGCTGGGATTTGAACCCAAGAAATGAGTTGCGACTCGAACCCAAAATAAGAAAGGAGTTGGGACTCTAACCCAACCCTGAGACCTTAACCCATAATGAATGTCATGGCAATAATTTACTCTACTGCCGCAGAAAAGGGTACCATGACATGAGTGCAAGCATACCAAGTGGTGTCGAAGATCATCAATTCAATGAGTTCGAAGATGCATGATCGTGCCTATTAGTGAAACCATTATCTCATAAGACCAATATCACACCAAATGAATGTCAATAATAACATCAAATCTCCACAACAGTTTGCAAAACTAAACCACAATTCTCAAGTATCAAGTATCAACAATAATCGACAGTAAACCGCATGATCACAAGTAGGTCAAAATCATTAGAAATCATTTGAAAGTATATGGATGTACAAGTAAACCATTTTATGAAAAAACAAAGTCCACTCACAGTTACCAACGCTTGCTCAATATCGAGGAGCCTTGCCCTTCGTCGATCTGGAAGAGCTCAAAAAATACGAACACGAACATATCCGAAGCAATCGAATTTGGTTCACCGTAAGAGAATTTGAACACATGCTACATATACGTTGGCATATAATTTCGGATTAATCACTCAATTAACAAAAACCCCAAGCTAAGAGAACCAATTCTTTAAGGGCTTGTGCCAAAGAGAATAGGAACTTACCCAAGGTCTCAATTATGTCTCCAATTAGTCCATTTAGCTCATCCAAGCTCAAGATCAACTCAACCACCACGAATCTTCGACAAGAACCCCGGAAACTCGAGTTAGACACATGAATCTCAAACTGTTCGAAAATGAAACTTGGAATTAGGAAGATCTACTTACATATTCTGAAAGCCCGTGAAGAGAGGAGTGTTTTTAGCTCTCGGGCGATATTGGCCGGAAGCGGCGAAAAATCGTCGGAAAACGTCCAAACTTCCCGGTTTCGATATCTGTGAGTGTGTATGCTTGGTTCAACGTGCGTGTATGGTGTCAAATCTAAGAGGGCTTCGGGACGAATCCAAAGCCTCTGACCTTACACGATTTCGTTGCCTTGAGAATGTTATGGTCAATTGAAATTTTGAAATGTAGAAGAGCGCAGAAGGAGTGAGGAGGAAGAGAAGCAGCAGCCACGGGACTGTAAAGTGTAAACAGCAGGGCAGCGGCTTCATTTTGGTTTTTCTTTTCTTAATCTTAAAACAAGCCCATCCTCTTCGTTAATACTCCGTCTGCAACCACCACGTGTTTGTCACCATGAGTATAATAAAAATATACTAAAACAAGGAATCAGATTCTCTTCGGATCCTAATAATTTGAGCTTAATGATTAAATAATTTCGGACCGTTAAAATTTAAAACAACGGTTATAAACAGAGAATCTTTTAAAAATTATAATAATTGTAATCGTTAAATTAAATTTTAACAATTCGGATTAAATAATCCTTAAACTCAGTTTATTAGGATCTGGTTCCCTTTAAAAATACCTCAAAGGTCAATAAGAGCCAGCTTTCGCCTTTAAAAATATTTTGATCATTTCAGGATAAAATTGAATTATCAATTAAATATCAATTAATGTGTTTATTTTTTTTTTTATGACATACCATTTAATTTAAAATAAACTGATTTTGCTAACATTAATTTAAAAATTAAGGACAAATTGTAACAATCTAACTCAATAAATAACCCCAAAGAAAAAACACTGTGCAAGTGAAAGTAGAAAATTTTATATTTCTAACTTTCCCATTCCGATATTTGGCATTTATTTTTCCCTGAATTCCAAAACCAGGGAATCCATGGATCCAAACAGGGCGGAAGCCGAGCGATTGCTCGGAATCGCCGAGAAACTTCTACAGAGCCGGGATCTGAGCAGCTGCCGCGACTTCGCAATTCTAGCTCAGGAGACCGAGCCGCTGCTGGACGGCTCAGATCAGATCTTGGCCGTCGTCGATGTGCTCTTAGCCGCCGACAAACGCGTCAACAACCACCCTGACTGGTACGCTGTTCTCCAGTCCGATCGCCGATCCGACGACTTCGAACTCGTCAAGAAATCTTACAGACGGCTGGCGTTGCTCCTCCACCCGGACAAGAACAAGTACGCCTATGCGGAGCACGCGTTCAAGCTCGTCGCCGATGCATGGGCCGTTCTGTCCGATCCGGCCAAGAAGCAAATTTACGACAACGAGCTGGGGCCGTTCAGCCGGATCGATCTCGGCGCGTCGAATTCGAACAAATTGCCGGTGCGGCGAGACAGCCGGGGCCGAAACGACGCCGGTGTGGGAAACGACGGCCAGCAGCAACCGAGGTCGAGATTGTCGACTTTCTGGACGACGTGCCCGTACTGTTACGTGCTGTACGAGTACCCTAGGGTTTATGAGAGTTGCTGTTTGAGGTGTCAGAATTGTAAGCGAGGGTTCGAGGCGGTGGTTGTTCCGAATTTGCCGCCAATGGTGCAGGGACAAGACGCTTACTACTGCTGTTGGGGGTTTTTCCCGATGGGATTTGTTGGCGGCAGCGGCGCGAAGGGTAAGTCCACCGCCGCAGCCACTGCCGCCTTTCCCAACTGGATGCCACCTGTCTTTACAACCCCGCAGAGTAAAACTCCGGTGACTACCTCGGTGCCCGTGGTGCCGAATTCGGGGGGAGTGGTGGATGTTTCGGATGGGACCCCGGAATTGAGGCCTAATCCGACTCAGAAGAAGAGAGGACGACCCAAGAAGTACTGATTTGGCTGGTGATGCAAAGCAGAAGAATACTCTTTGTAATGGAATGCTTTAGGACTGGCAGAGAGAAATTTTTAGGTTGGTTTTTTTGAAGCTGCTGAGTTTCGAAAACTCGGAAGGTAACTCTTTACGGTCTTTGCTTTTGCTGTTGTTGATTTTGCTTTAGATTGCAATTGTTGGTTGTAGATGTTCCGATGTTCGCCTCTTAAGTTATGAAACTGACTGCATTTGTAGATTTTGTAGTTGTTGTGTAATCAGTAATCCCTTCTGTATTTAGGCCAATGTCGTTTCATTAAGTGTTTTCAACCTATCCTGGGCCCTCTTGTTCTTGTTGGCGTGTTTGGTTATATATTGAATGCATTTCAACCTATCTTTTTGTTCTTGTTGGTGTGTTCGGTTAGATATTGAATGCATGCACATATACATTCTGTGGGGACATGTGTGATCGATTAGATGAACCATCTTAGGGGTTGTAGTTTATACCGGTTTTTCAGTTCACTTCTATGAACAGAACTAACATCTTGCTCTTTAACGCTTGAGTTGCATGGTTTTCTGGTGACGAAAATGTTTGTAATTGTTCTTTTGCTAGGGCACTTATTGGTTGGTATTCAATAAGGTAAAAGAATGCAGAGGGTGACAGGAAAACAGGGAGATAAATAGGTTAAAACATAATTTTGGTCACATTGTTATGGCCGGAATCACGCATGATCATTTTTGTTTTGTTGTTACCAATTTTGTCATTGTAATTGACTCCGTTAGCAATGTATGTTCAACTTTGAACTTATGTCTGTTGAATTTGAAAATAGAATATAAGATTAACAAATTAAAACATTCAACTAGAAAGGAAAGAACTTTAAAGTCATAACTTTGAATCGAAGATACGGATGGAGATGCTCTAGGTGTCGCTTCGCATCAGATCATATGTCAATTAGTATTCAACCCATTAGGTAAAATGATATATATTTCAATTAATGGAATTTATAAATTGGACTTAATTGCTAACAGAGAATCCCTTTGACACCTACTGAAAAACTAGAACAATGACAGTTGTGATTTTGTACCAACGCAGTGACCAAAAATGTGTCTACCTTGAATTGCAAGTACTTCTTAAATCCTCTTTCAGTTGGGCTTACAATTCTAAGCAGTGCAGCCAGTCAATAACCGACTGATTGTTTTTCCGTTTCCATGTCCACATCTTCCTTGTCGGTGTACTTCTAGGAATAATCTCTAACTCCATACTTTGTATTATTACTTCTGTAGTTGCAGCGGCTGCGTGATAGCAGCTACTGCATCCTTTGTTATGAATTAGTTGAGCAACTGCTTCTGCTGCAGCTGCCGAAGTATGCTAGTTAACAATACGAAGCACTGTTGTGTGGTAATATTGTGAAAATGATTTTCTAAGTTCAGCTTTATTTTGAACATCTAAGAGGCTTGACCGGCAACCAGTAAGCTATAAAGGTTGAACACCATACTCCCACCGAATGTGGAAGACATATACTAGTCGGTTCCAAAAAACAGGAGGAGGTTAACGGTTGAAGCAATGTTATCTACTTCTTGGTACCTGTATGGCTGCAAGCCATTGCGTAATTTGCAGCTCATATAGATGCGTAAACTTTAGTGGTTTTGCCTTTTTGGGGAGAGTTTGTTAGGATAGATTTGATGTGAATCTGCCTTTCCTTGATTGAGACGGTATTTTGATAGTAACATCATTGTCATTATATTTTTTTTTCCCATTCTTAGCGTCGTGCGTATCAGTATTAATTTCCGTCTTTGTAGATCAATTCATGTTATTTTATAAAGTAGAACATTGCCCCAAGTATGCACATATGGTTTGATAGAATTTCCGTTTGCATCGTTGTTTTCTTTTCGTTTTCTTCTTCTTCTTTTGTGGGTCTGCATTTGGTGGTCCTTTTGTAAAGTTACTGGGTAAGCAGGAAGGTGCAAAATACCAGCAACTACAATATGAATATAAGACACCTCTAAGCCGAGGTGGCTATATCTCAAACCTATCTGACACCGCCACCCACCCTCGTGCCTTAACTGGCCTGCATGACATTGCATGATTGGTTGAGAATATTGTCGCCTCTGCGTCGTAGTTGGCATGTAATAGTTATTCCAAGTACGTATATACTCTCCTCGTACTCGTTCTTCCGTCAAGACACTTTCCAGCGCAGCCTTTCAACCGGAAAAGAAAATGTGCAGCGCAAAATCGTAAACGGAGTGGTCGTCAAGCTCCAGAGTTTGAATTCAACCACTCAATATCCAATTCCAATTCCACACATTCAGATTTGGAAAAGAGAAATGATAAACGTACGTTCTTTTTTTCCTCTTACATGATTAGAAATAAAGAGAGAGATGTGTGAGAGTGAGTAGAAATCAAAAGATAAGCAGCTACCACAAGTGTGGTACAAATAATATGATTTTCTTAATCAATTGGAGTGTGTGAGTACTTCCAATTTGAGATCTTTTCAAACATTATATGTAGCTTTTTGAAATGCTAAACATTTACAGCATGTTTTTACTTGGTGTGCGTACGAGGAGAAATGGAGATAACAAAGAACGACGGGGGTATTTTTGTTTACCACCTTTAAGTGATGGTAATGTTCATCAAATCTCAAAATTTAAACTCATATAATGGTAATAAATGGGATGGTGAGCATCACCATCATGTAACGTATTACTAAAGAACAACTATAGGATAAGTCAATACCTTCTTTGGTTATCCCATATCTTCACTTTCAAGAATGCTATACTCAAAATCAATGGAACCGTTTTTCTCTTTTTTTTTTTTAGTGGTTAGTAAACACATGAATAAGAATGATACTCATTTCTTGCCATCAAATGTACTACTTCATGACTGTCTCAAAGAAAAAGTCAAAATTAATTTTACCAAGCTACATACAATGAAACATAACGGATCTTAGGTACAATGAAACACTACATGAGACTTCTCTCGTTAAAGATAACACTTGTAATCAACTAAGCTACAATCTCCTACACAGGATATAACTACAACGATGTGGATGTGGTGGAGGGATTTTCTCTAGAAATTAATGCATAATTTCAGTGACAACGCCAATCCATTAAATGCTTGGCAACTGTTCTAAATTACCTAAAATTTTAGACTATAGTGGATATTCTAATACGACATTCTATACCAATATACACTAAAGGAGATGGGCGAATGTTTGAGGAATACAGTGGGTTGAAGAGGAAAACATTAATCATTAGAGTAATCTACTTGCTACTTTGATTATCCAATAGATGTTTGTCATGTGGCTTCGAGCATCCCTCCATGTGGAAGGGTAAGAGCATATCTAAGAGCAAGTCCACCCCATCCAATTGCCTTTGCAATTGCGTGATTCGATCACCTAAACCCAACAAAAACAGCTCTAGCCCATCTAAATCAGTAGGGCTATTCGAGGGGCCCAAACCCCAAGACCTAGCAATCAAGCCATTGTTGTGCCACCTATCTGCTTGTCCGCTTGAGCGGATCTGACATCAGCCACGTATAAATTTTTTTAAGTCAATCACATAGGCTTCACGTTCGAGTGAGGGAAAGTGAGCAAACCAAAAGGTGGCGGTAGGAGCTGCGCTACAAGCGCACTCAACTTCTGCGCACGTGGGCCGTTGGATTTCTCAAATTTGACGGTCCACATTAATTTGGCTTTTTAATTTAGAAGAAATAATAAAAATGAAAATTATGAAAAAAATAGTCGGAGCCCATGTGGTACAATCTAGGCAGTTGGATTGCAAAAAAAATGCAATCCAATGGTCTCTATTATTCATTTAGAAAAAGTTATAAAAGAATACCGAAAATGGGGAAAAAAATTAAAATTAAGAGAATTTGAAATTGAATATAATATTAATTTTTTTAATGCCAATTGACCCGACAATTCATTTACGAGATGAAGATGTACTCGAGCAATTACTGTTCAATAAGGCAATAATTGCCAATTGCAATAGCCCGGGCAATGATCAACCGAAGGGGTGAGTATGAGAGATTTTTCCAAGTACCAGGTTTCCAAGCAGTACTTCACAAGTCATAATATAAGTAGAGAAAATGATATTTCATTCTCTCCTATTTTATGACACACCTGAATACTAGACAGTTGAAAAAATAATATCTTGAAATAAGTATTTCACATTTTTTTTATTGGCCGGAATACTCTTCAATAGAGAGATGTAAAATATCCTTCTTGATCGGAAAATAGGGATGGGCAATTGGAACCGAAAACTGAAACCGAAACACGAACCAAATTGGATTGCACCGAACGGTTTTGGTTTTGAAACCAAACTACATTGTAAGGAACGATTTGATTTCGATTTTGGCTTTTGAAAACCACACCGAATATCATCAGTCATCATTTGGTTGTTTGTTAGAGTTCTATACATTTAGTATCTACTCAACCACACTAGAATATCATCATTCATCATTTGCTGCATGTTTGCTTACATCAAGTTTGCTTGCTGCATATATAGTTGTTGTAGGTTTGTTTGTGCATATATTGTCCAATTTTAGATGGAAATGGATTATCAAAACATCGTCACTCAATGTGCTCATTGATAACATGCGTTCATTCATTATGCATTGTGTAGAAAATAAGATCGTCTTATGTGCAAATAGGTGTATATTTTAAAATGTACATTTCTTTCTTAAAAACCGAATCGAAACCGTTTGAAACTGCGCATAACCAAACTAAAAAAAAATTCCGTTTCAATTTCGGTTTCATTTAAAACCGCACCGAACCAAACCATGCCCACCCCTACCGGAAAATATAAACAAAAATGCATTTGATTACACCTCACATACTTAATACACGCCACATTTACTTTTAAATTATAGTTTATTTTAATACAGTCTAGATACATTCCAACACTACTCTCATGCTCCACACTTTATACATACACCCCCATCACCACTTAAACTCCACATCAAACTCATCTTCTTCACCACAAACAACTATTTAAATGTATATTCTATATTGTATATTGTATAAGTAGGCGTTGAAGCCAACTATTCAACAAGAAAAAAGGTGCTAATAAAAAACCTAGGGGTGGGCACGGGCCGGACCCAAATTTGTAGGAACCGGACTCGACCCGTTTAAAATGCAACGGGACGGGCCCGACCGGGTGTATGAATTTTGAGATTTGAAACCGAACCTAACCCGGCCCGTTTTAAACGGGCTGATTTGGGCCGAGTCCACAGGTCCAAATTACTTCTTTTTTTTTTTTTAATTTTTTTTAGAACAGGTTATTTGGATTTTGTATATAGAATAGCTCAATAGAAAACAATGAGAAAGGCTATGCTGTCAGTACAAGGCGTTCGCAGCCTTCTCCCAGTTCTCAGAGGGGTGAATACATCTTTCCCTGCCAATAGTTACAAATAAAAGCTTGTAAAGATGAGTTTAAATTCAAATCCAATGTGCATGAAATGGTCATGGTTAAAACTTAAAGGGGGATTTTGAATACCTCATCCTGATCATATTTGGTGTCAACTTGCTGGGCTTGCATACGTGATACTCTACAGACTGCAATCACATATTGCATCTCAACGTCAAATTGGGGATTTCGAATTGATTAAATTTCAGAACATGAATCAAGTGGACTTGCATATTATCAAAGATTGTTGGTCCACAATGAAACTAAATGCAGCTGTGTAACTTAATTGACTGGAATTACAAAATTCTCCACTAAATTTTCTCATCAACCAACAATTATCTAATTACATTACTTGGATTTACAGAAACGTTCCACCAATCAACCAAACATAATCTAATTAAAAATACCCAAATCTGAAACAGAAGATTCAAATATATACAAGTATGAAACTATCACAGGACATATATATATATATATATTCATATTCAATTCAACAAAAGATTTGAAATTGGAACATAACAGAGGTCAAGATTCAAGAACCCAACAAAATCCCTAAATCTAGTGCACCATCAACACAACAATTTTGGTTAATGTTAATCACAGCATCAAGCATGTGCGGCTTTCATTTGGTAATCCTATGAAGGCAAATTTATGAACCCCTTCCAATTCATATAAGGCAAATTTATGGATTGGGTTTGGGGTTTTCATGAAATCCCATATGATTACAGAATGCAGAGAGTCAGAGATTGCAGAGTCAGAAAGGGCATATATCTAGAAAACCCTAAATCCCTAAATCTAAAAAATTAATCAGAGATTGCAGAATGTAGAGACTCCAAAGAGTTAAGATTTAAGAAATTATAGTACCTTAATTTGGGAGGAGATGAGATGAAGGTGGTCGATTTCGATTCGCATGGTCATGGTGGTGTTCTAGAGGGCGGTGATGGGGTAGTCGCGATTGGGAAGAGAAGGTGGTGATGGTGGTTGGTGATGGTGGTCGCACCTCGCAAGTCGCCATAGAGAGGGCGACAGAGACAGAGAATTGGCGACGGCTGCTGTGAGGGGTAGAGGAATAAGATGAGACTGGGTGAGGAAAAAGATTCAATCGAACGGTGGAGAGTGGAGGTGGGAATAATCATTAAATTCATCCAATATCCCACGTTAGAAATGGTTCGGGTCGGGGCCCGTTCCTCGTAATATTTGGATCCGCCCCGCCCCATCAATCCTCCGGCCCACCCCGTTTCTTCTTCAATTCCTCTGCGCCGAACCTATCCCGAATAGTGAGGATCCGGCCCGACCTACAAGTCCAGGACCCGTTTGCCCATCCATATAATAAAAACCCAACAAAAACTTAAATTTACATTTTATAAGATCTCAAATTCACATAGTAAAGTAAAAGGCAAGTGGCTCTTTAGTTGTGGTAGAAAAATATTAACCATTTGCATAATGATATGTGTTTGAATTCTGTTGATGGTTAATTTAGTACAATATAACAAAATTTATTGTTTGATAATATATATATATATATGAATTTTGCATCCAAGTAGACCCTCTATTTTCTCTAGAAAGAGATCTCATCTGGATCTCTCTATCAAAACCTACCAATCAATTAATTTGGGTTTTTAAAATTTGATTCAACAGCAACAAGCAGAAAATCTCTTTAAAAATTATAATAATTTTAATCATTAAATCAAATTTTAAGAGTTCAGATCTTTTGATTGATGAATTTTCTCTTCCTATTTTCTCCAAGTATATGCAGTCCCTTGTGTAAAAAAGAAAAAAAAAAGGTGTATGCAGCAGGCCCCGCAAAATAATTACAGAAGTGACAAAACGTGCAAATTATCCCCGTCTTACTAAACCAGCCTGACAGAAGAGAAGGGAACCCAATAAAGCTGCTGTTTCGTCGTTCCAACTTCCAAGACACGTCCTTCTCCACCCACCATTTAGCCCATATACGGCACAGTCATCCGAACTGCTATCTCTCGGTCTCAATCTCAATCTGTTGCTGTCTCTCTACTCTGCTCTGGTGAACTGTAAGAACCCAAATCTCCTCCTCTTTTTCTGCCCTTTTTTATTTTTAATTTTTGTTTTTGTACTCTGTTTGTTTGTTTCTTAAACACACTACCTGTTTCCTGCAATGTGGGTTTGTTTTTTCACATGGGTTCAATTCGTGCTGTTTGTTTGCCGGGAAAATGTGGGTGAAACCAAGTTAAGAACATGAAAAATGATCAAGTTTAAGCTTTCGAAGTGTGGTTCAAATTTTGACAATGTGATGTAAAATGTTCACACTACTTTCACGCATGAACATTTTTCGTTTTGGGAAGATAATCTAAGCATGGTTGTTCACAAAATGTTAACGAGAAAACAAAAATACGCGATTAAATTTCGAAGTTTTGTGGACGAGGTTCAAGTTTGATTGTGTAATATAAATACAACTACTTAATTTTTAACAAAGTAATCTAAGCATATAATTGTTTCTGCATAATCTATATTATTTAACGAGACGACCTCATTTGGTTAGCATTATGTTATTGTTTATGATTGTGATCAAAGCAAACTCCAATCTAGTATTTAACATGTTAGGATCTTGGGAAGCATATGAGGAACTTTTCACGATATCGATTGTCACAGACTCGTTGTTTATAGTTATTATGTGAACAGCATGGCGATTCTACAATGCAAGAGTCTTCTGTCTTGTGGCGTAGTCTGTCCTGCGTAAACATTTCACTGTCATGCTACTTGATCCACCTTGGGACTGCCACAGTTCTCCTTCTCGCCATGCCTTACATGTTCCTTGCAGTGGTTTTCTTGTTGGGATTAGGTGGGACAGGTGAGAACGGAGATTATTCCCGTTGGATGGAACATGGAAGACAAACAATGTACAATATACAACATGGGTGATCCACTACTGATAGTCTAAAAGCATCAAAGCTTTTTGAGTTTAAACCCCACACCCCACACCCCATAGGTTCATTAGGCTTTCTCATACACCATTGGTTTAGGTGACTAAGTTAGTGACAATCTCGGTGTTGATTTAGAGTTACAACCACTGGTCCGTTGCCCAACATTTTAAGGTCACCTCTACAATATCGTTCTGCTGGACCTGACATAATAGTAATTCTGTATACCTACTTAGTTGGTTATGGTAAATTTGTAAAGCACATAGAAAAATGTTTCTGTTTACTGTCTACACCTGACTGTATGTTAAATTTTGTTCAAAAGTGTAGGCATAAAACTCCAAAGTAGACGAGCAACATAGAAAAGGCTAAAGCTTGATTATGTTAAACTTCTAATCAGACAGAGAATGAGACAATAGTTTGTGTATAATCGTTTGAAACGGAGATGTTTGATTCGATTGCGGCAATTTTATCTGTAGAGGTTTACAGCCCAAGAAATACTTATGTTTTCCCTTTCTTCGGTATTTCCAACTGCAAATGCAGATAATGGAATGCGATCATCCTTCAACTGGGAAACATAATGTTAAACTGGAAGATGGAGAGGTTGTTGCTGCTAATCAATTGGAAGGGGAGGTCAAGTTGGCTGATCTCATATGGGTAAAGATCAGTGGAGGCTCATGGTGGCCAGCACAGGTATTTGAAATGCTGTATTTTCTGATTGTTTTGTAACATTCAATAATCGAGATTTTTAATTGCACAGATTCTATTTGATATTACTTAGATGTGCCAAAGGATCCATTTCGTTATCTTCTTGTTTAATTCGTAGGTTGTTGATGATAACAACGTGAGTAACAAGAACAAGCCAAGTAAAAGATCGGCAGAGAAGGTTCTTGTTCGGCTCTATGGAAGCTACAAGTAGTAAGTCTTCCACGATCAGGTGTTTTGTCCTCATTTGTCTTCTGATTGTATAGAACTTCTGAGCATATTTTCTTGCAGCTTGTATGTGGACCCGGTAAAATGTCATTCTGATTTCGACATGGTATGTTTTGAATGCACTGTTGAATCTCCTTGAATTCTGCCTAAGCATTCGAAATTTGAATACTAATTTCCACCGGATTATAGTAGACATGCCCCATACCTGATCATATTGACTGAATTGCTGAACTTTCAGATACTCAAGCAGAACAACGGTTGTTATAGGGAAATACTCCTAAAAGCTCTGGAGCAGGTAACTATTCTTTCTTTGATAATTGCTCCTTTTAGGCAGGAATGAAATCTTGTGGTTGAAGTTGATGGTATCTCGTACGTCATCTAATATGGCTGTAGGTTTCTAGCCCAAAATCCGACATATCAAAGAAGCAAGGATCCAAGTCTAAAGGTTAGCCAACTCAAAATCCCTGTAAAAATGTATTGCATAACATTTATCAGTTAAACATAAATTATTGTTATCCAAGTTGAGAGGATTTAATTTCAGAATTTACAGCTGAATGGTGTAATAGAAATCATCTCGACGAACAAATTAGAATGGGAAAGGTTTTTTGTGCTGTAACAAACTTATTTTAAAGCACTATTCATTTGAATTTAAGGTTGAGAAGTAAATTAGAGGATTGAGGAATTGAACTAAAAGGGGAAAATACGTGGTATATGTGGAAGCATTGGTTGACCGATTGAGCCACCATTCACTATGGAAATACTAGATGATCCCTCACTTGAGAATTATTAGAGTGACTCAACTTGCCTTTCAAGAGAACATCAGTATGCGCCTTTGCTCATGGGAGACTTGTTTGTGCCCATGTAAGGGAATGAGTTTGTGAAATGGGCTGAGAAGATCCTAGGAGTAACGCCAGCCTACGCTAAACATTTTGATATTTCTAAAAACAATGGGAATCCACTCTAAGTGTGAACATTTTGTATGGTTTTAGAAACCCTAATATAACCAGTAATGCTTTAGGTACCCATGCAAACCTTATAAAAGTTATTAAATTCATGGTAATTTAAGAAACTAGCGAGAACTCATCAGAATAAGCGATCTTCCTCTCCTGGGTGCGGAATTTATGTTAGAACCTAAATTGTTATGAAAGTGTGTTACTCTTTTTGGTGTTTCGTTCTTGTGGCTTTCCATGTCCACCAATATACCCCTGTTTGTCTGTGAGTAGAGGTCACAACTGAGCTGAAGTCTTTATCTATCAAGGTCATTGACACAATTTATTATCTTATGTTGATGAAATCATTATGTTCAGAATGACCTAAATGGAAAGGTTTCTATTGTTTCTTAGAAACTGAGACTCTCGTACTGGTCAAAATGTTTATATTGTCGAGCAGAAAACGTAGCAGTTGATCTTTCCAGGCGTAAGTCCAGTCATAATCACGCAAGGGAAAATCCACAAACAGATTCTTCAAACTTGGTAAGTTCTTCTGATTCTCAACGGTCCTTATTTTGTAAAATTCTATTTCCTTGATATCACGTACGGGTACTTGGTTGCAGAATGCTGTTGCTCAGAGAACGGAATTTTCTGTGAGTTTCTTTAGCTGGTCTGTCGTTACATATTTATCTTCATGGGTTGCAGTTTCATATTCTTTGGCATTATCCATGTAAATCTTCTGTTAGGTAAGGGTTTCTCCAAGAAAGCGGAATGTCGTTATACCACAAAGTAAGGTGGAGCAGAAGACTCTACTTGCACCAAGGGTTGGAAATGCAAATGGAAAAGCTTCCAAGCAAAGTGGGGCAGAAGTGGTATCAAAGTCCAAAGAAGTGAGTGCCCGGAGATTGAGAGTGATGCAACAGCTTGGCCTGATTGCGCCCTCGGGATCTTCATTCCACAACAATGGACTGATTTGAGTCTCTTACTTAAGGTATTACAATTTTGTTTGTCATGGTGTCGATCATCTGTCAAAAATGGTAAGATTTTTTTGGTCCTTTGCAGCTGTATGATAACATTGTACCATTAAGAGACTTCAAATTCGGCACATGAACCATTCGGACTCAACCTGTTTTTCCCGTTTGGGGCTGCCTGATGCAAGCTGCTAGCTTTTGATGTAAGAATTGCACTGTAGATGCATAGGCTTATGTTGTAAGGCCACCTGACAAAGTAAGCCTAAATGGTCTTGGCTAGTTGGTTTTTGCTCTCATTTTGTTTTTGGAGGGTGGTTGCAAAATCTACTGAATTGTGTTTAAGTTTCTTTTTTGTGCATACCAAGTCTGAAACCAGTTGGTGAAATTGAAGCACGGGGTTATTGCTTCTCTCTCTATTCTCGACCTTTACGATAAACTTTTATAACTATTGAGAACACAAGTCACGTGATGTATTATTTCACGTGTTATAATGAAATGAACGATGTAGTTGATATATCCCACTTTTAGAGTATTAACCATATTGTTAAGTGGAATCCAAACACAATAGACTTTTTTCAGGTACATCGAAAAGAATACTTAAAAAAATTGACGGTATTTCTGGATGCATTGAGAAAACTAAAGACTAATTAAGGCCAAAGAACAAAGCTTTTCCCAAGTGATAGGACTAGATGGAACAACACAGAATTTGATTGTTCCATTTAGAGGTGATTTTTTAATGGATGAGACAAAATAAAATTGTATGTAATTACATATGTTTGTAATATACACGTAGAATAGAAAATCACATTTTATTCCTAATAAGAAAATATTATAATATATATCCTTAATTTAAACTCAATACCAACCTTTAACTAACAAGTGGCTAACGTTCTTTGCTGTTTAACTTAAAACCAACCGTGAGCTAACGAGTTTGTTAACGGCTTCAATCGTTATCAACATGATCCGTTAAATATTCACCAAGGTATTGACTTTTTTACCAGTAAATGCGGTTGAATTAACGGGTTGGGATCAATTTGCCAGCCCTACGAGAGAGAGAGAGAGAGAGTACATACTTGTACATGTCAAGAAAAAATCGTTTGTAATTTTCATGTTCTCTTTCCAAGTGGGCACCATTATTCCCACTGTGGATGACTACTACTGAATCACTGACAGGTGGCATTGGATAAGATTAATGCCTTTTTCTTTATTGTATTCACGTTTATTTATTTATCAAATAAATCGTTTCTTGAAATACTTGTTTGCCAAACTCATCTTTTGGAGCTTCCAACAAATGCTGAAGGCGGGAAGAGAGATGGTGTGGCCAATCCGTAAGTTTCATCATCTCAACCAGCTTCACCTGTTTATTTCATTAGTCTCTGTTTGGCTGCAAATAATTCTTTTCTCTCAATTAATACAGCCTCAAAATTAGCTCGTCGGATGATTCCAACACTGGTTTGTAGAGACTCGTTTGGCTGCTGCTCACTCGTTTCTGGTTTAACCAATTCCTCTCTGGCTCAAATTCACAGAAAATCATCTGTTCCAAACAAGGTCCTACTTTCAGCCTCTCATGAATCATGCATTCATCCCTTTTCTCAAAAATGTATTCCTTACTGATCGTACCAGATTTTGTTACTTGCATTTATGAAAATTTCTTAGACAAATTCTGCACAAGTTGAAGGCATCCCCGTCCAATTTCCGCCTTCGATCAAGTAAGCATAAAAAGATTAATGAACATTGATCATCTGATCCCCTTGACTTGCAGTCCAAACTTTGTACTGTAATTTTATATGTTTTAGACCTAAAATTGTGTTACTAAGAGCTTCCCACTATAAGTGCTATGTACGATGAGCTTTTTCTATTTTTAGAAGCAACCTGGTTCTGAGGCCGGAGGCATCAAATGATTCCGAGGATCTCGCTGGTGAATTTACAAAATTTAAAGTAGAAAACGTATCGAAAGCTAAGGACGGGATGGACTCGTTTGTAGCGATGAAAGAGAGGTTTCTGAGTTTTAAAAAGCACAAATTTTTGTAAGTAGCAGTTAAAAGTGCTTACAGAAGTTACTTGCACATACACATTGGTGGTGGTCTGTAACTGTAAGGTAAATATAATATTGAACAGGAAAGAGTCAGAGCATTTCCAAACCCTAGCTCAAGTACAAGCACCCAAGGTAATTATATTTTCTCTTAATCTTGTTTAATTATATGCATTCTGCTTTTGTTTGATTATTTACAAAGGAATTGGGATATTTCCATATATAAACTTAAAATTGTTCGAAAACAGTTCATGGTGATTGCTTGTGCAGACTCTAGGGTTTGTCCGTCTAATATCCTAGGGTTTCAACCAGGGGAAGCTTTCATGGTTAGAAATGTAGCAAACCTTGTTCCCCCATTTGAGGTATTTGGCTCATCTTTCGTCTGTCCTTATTTATTATCTCGAATCTAAACACATACACAATCGAATTCTTCGGATCAACCTTGTCTCTTTTGCAGTATGGAACATCAGAAACTAATGCCGCCCTTGAGTTTGCAGTAAATACTCTTCAAGTAGGTCGTCTTGCTCTCTCTAGTCCCTCCATCTATGTATATTTATATCTTGACCATGGTTTATTACAAATGTCGTATGAAGGGAGATTCGTCAATCCAAGATGTTCTTTCCAAAAACTGAAATTCTTCTTAATTTCGTCTCAACACATTATCGTATCTTCTAAAAGGAAAGGCCAAAAATTGTTCGTTTCTATACCAAATTACCGATACATTTGCAAATAGGTTTGGGAGCGAAAAAAAGGTTAAAAATTAGTGACCCCCATTCCACTTCTTGCATCTTCTCACACGAGTACTTTTCTGTTTACTTTCCTTGAGAAGCAAAATTGTTTGTGGCTGACTTCAGGTTGAAAACATATTAGTCATTGGCCACAGTAGCTGTGCAGGAATTCAGACCCTATTGAGAATGCAAGATGACGGTGATTCAAGGCTCGTTAACAATTCATTTCTATCTTTTGTTTTCATTCAGTTCATGAATTCCCTCTAAATATTCTTTGTGTGATTTTGCTTTCAGTAGCTTTACTCAAAGTTGGGTTAACAACGCGAAAATCGCTAAACTAAGAACAAAATCTATTGCACAGCACCTCAGCTTTGAACAACAGTGCAGGCACTGTGAGAAGGTTATACTCAATTTTCCTCGTCCTACTCTTCTTAAGCTTGTTTGTTTGTGATTAATTTCTAAAATATCTCCGAAATGATCGAAAACAGATTGTTCTTAACTCATGGTGATATGATAAAACAGATACTAATTGTCTTGTGCAAACGAATGGAAGTGACTGATTACGATTTGTTAAACGTACTAATGATAAAAGAATACAGATCAAGCCTCTAAAATGAGATAATTCTTGAGGTATAATAAGTTTTCGTTCTAGTGCAGGAATCGATCAATCGTTCATTGGTGAATCTTCGGACATACCCGTGGATAGAAAACAAAGCAAAGAAAGAGTTGATCTGTCTACATGGAGGATATTACGATTTTTCGAGTTGTACATTTGAGAAATGGAGCCTTGATATAAATGGCAGCAGCAGCTTTGTAGGAGGCAGATACTTGATCAAAGACGAAGCACTTTGGCGCTGAATTTCTTGGTTCTTCCATTGAAAGAATGTTCATTCTCCACATTGTAAATGCTAGGCTAGGTGGGCTTCAACTTTGAAGGCGTACACAAGCAACAAGAAAAATTTATTCATATTCCAAATTGTCCCCTGAAGTTATCTTATTTCATTTTTTGTCCCTGAGTTTTTCAGGCAAGATTTTATCAAGACAACTACTATTAATTGTGTGGTTATTCACTTGGAGGCATTATGTAATAGCTTAATATTGTAGTTTTTTATTGGAAAAACCCTAAGCCTATAAATAGGCTACCTGATGAGAATAGTACTGTCTTATTTTCTCCATCAACTGCCCTTTTGTTTTTCTTTTATCTGTCTAATTTATTTTATTTTCAATACAAAAACATCATTACCAAGAACAAATTTATTGTTTTTCTCAATTTTTTTTTAACAAAATGATATTGTCCACATTAAAGGGGAAGGGGTGGACTTAGCCTCACAAAGAAGGGGACACATAAACCTTACCCTTCTAGAAACAAAAACAACAAAGATACAAGGAAAAGAGGGGGGACATGAAACCTAACTCATCTAAAGCCGAACCTAAAGGTCTAAATCTGCAAAATAGAACAAGCAACATCACGAGGTTAACAAGAAAGTTGAGATGCACATTAATTTGAGAAGGGGAAGCCAGGCAAGCCAACATTGTCTAAAAACAAAGCAGCACGAACCATCATTGGAGGAGAATCATGCCATATCAAAGTTGGAGAAGACAAGCTTATATTAGCAAAATTGTCCGTTCTATATTGCCTTCCCAATATATGTGAAAGGCATAAAAAATCACCTTCCGAATACGGTCTAAACAAATAGACCATTGCATACAAAGAGACCAAGGAGGATCAAAATTAGGCGAGTGGAGGGCAGAATAAAACACTAGAAGAGTCACTTTCTAGCCAAAGACAATGTCAACCCCATTGATATGCAAACTCTATACCAATAATAATTGCTGATAATTCTACAAAAAAAAAAAAAAAAAAAAAAAAAAAAGAATTGCAATGACCAATCTCTTGGCAGAAACTTCCAAGAAACTGATCGTGACAATCACGAAAAACTCCTCCACAAGCAACAGGACCAGGATTTCCTTTAGACAAACCATTTGTATTAAGTTTAATCCAAGGAAACCAAAGAGAAGTCCAAGGCATAGGAAGAATAGTTGGCGCCTTACGAGAGATAGGTGGGATCCCTAAAGAAGAAATGATACGAACATCAAAACCCTGAGAATAACTAGGAATAAACTTCCCACCATGAACGATCCCATAATTGATAGATAGACAAAGATGATAAAAATAGATTGGGTGGCCCTCGAAAATTAACTTATTTTGAGCTTTCCAAATAGCCGAAATGTCTAAGGACCCACAAAAATCCAGAGATTGTGCAATTGTTAGGAAAAGGGATTACATACGTAGGCATCCCAAAAAACAACCACGGAATTTGAAAAAGGCAAAGAGGTACCAAATTGACATGCTAACCACCTCCAAAGCTGCCTAGATATCCGAAACTCGAAAAAAAAGATGAAAAGTAGATTCCTTAAAGTTATGACATAAACAACAAATGGATGCCGGAGAAATACCATGTTGTTGTAGTACACCTTCGGTAGGAAGTTTGTCATGAAAAAGCCGTCAAGCCAAAATAGACAGTCGAGGTGGGATAAAATGTCGTCAAATAACCTTGGCCCAACCACAATTGCTATGTTTTTTCCGAATAAGATAATAACTAGAAGAAAATGAAAATTTCCCAGTTGATGAAGGCTCCCAGATTAATTTGTCATTCTCTACCTTTAAGGCAAAGGTAAACGAAGAATCTGTTGAACTACAGAAGGGAATAAATCTCCAAAATAATCTGGTAAAGACCATCTTTGAGCTTCAATAGCATATGAAACCTGAGGAAGAACTGTGGGTGAAATGACTGAAGATAATGAATGGTCAATAATCGGGCCATCCAACCATTTGTTGAACCAAAAAGAGGCTGACATTCCATCACCAATAATCCAACGACTATTATTATTCAGAATATGCAAAGCCCGTTTCAAAACCATGCCACACTGAAGACCGTAAATAGATATCTTGTTTTTTGTAGGGCGCAAGAGGAAAACGCTTACGAGCGAAAGATTCACATAGAGAAGATTGTAAAGCATCCCAGCTAAAACTAAGCAAAGCCGTGAAGTTTAAGGCAGCCGAATCACATATTACAAATTTATTTGTCATTTTTTTTTTTTTTTGCAAACAATTATTCAAATCATTTTGTGAACTGACTAGTAATACACTCTAGTAGTAATCCTTTTGACATGGATGATGATAGTGTATTATATTTTTATTGGATTAAATACATATTGTGTGGCGTACCTCGATCCACCTCCTGTATCAAGGTATCCTCTTGATATTAAAGCACGCCTCGAACCCTAAGATTAGTAGGGTACACCCATTTCTGACAGGTGCATAGTAACCAAAATTGTTCTACTCAGATTAAAACCCAAAACAAAAAGGAAAAAAAAAAAAAATCATTTGCTAATTAAAACTGTAAAACCGAATAGGCCTCCACAAAATTAAGAGAAAGTGAATGAAAGTAAAACTTGATTTAAGTCGAGTAAAGCCGGGACTAAATAAAACAAAGAAAATGCAATCGGGGGACCTCATAAGCTGAGCTTTGAGGAACTATCGCATTTCGGACACACACAGAAGACGGAAGGCAAAGGCAGCCATGATCTCGCAGTTCTTCCTGCTCTCGCAGCGTGGCGACAATATCGTCTTCCGCGACTGTCAGTCTCTCTCCCTCTCTCTCTTTACTGATCCAATCTCTAATTCCTTACTAATTTCACTCGCTCAGATTTTAACTTCCGATCTGAATTGTTCAGCAACTCAGTTGTTGTGTAGTTCGATCTTCGTTTAGATCAATTGTTGCTTATACTATTTGAAATTATCTCTAACATAGTTATTTGGTAGAGATCTCCAAGAACAGTTATTAATTCAGCTCTAATCTCCAGTGGGTGTTTCCTAGATCGTACATGCATACCGTAGTTTTTCCCAATTAATTTTCGTTCATGAATAAGCAATTTGAGCTCGATTTTGAAGAAGTTAGTACTATTATGACCATTTCGGAAATGGGTATGGTGAGAAATAGAGAAACAAGTGCAAGTGAACACTTTTTTTTGTTCTACAAGAAAGGATGAATAAGCATTCGGGAGATCTGTTCTTATTGGATCTAGTGCTGAAAGATGGTGTACTTGATGCGTGATTTTGTTCATGCAGATCGCGGTGAAGTGCCAAAAGGAAGCGCAGAGATATTTTTCCGGAAAGTGAAGTTTTGGAAAGAAGATGGGCAAGAGGAAGCACCCCCTGTCTTTGTAGGTATTATCTTACTGAGGAGTGTTTGGCAGTGTCAACTATTTTCATTTGATTCAGTCTGCATATACGGTATCTTATGCTGACTTTTTCTGTACTCAATCAATAGAACGTGGATGGTGTCAACTACTTTCATGTGAAGGTTGTTGGACTATTGTTTGTCGCAACCACAAGAGCTAATGTATCACCATCTCTTGTCTTGGAACTTCTACAAAGAATTGCCCGTGTCATCAAAGATTATGTTGGGGTTCTCAATGAAGATTCTATAAGGAAGAATTTTGTGCTTGTGTACGAGTTGCTTGATGAAGTCATTGTAAGCTCCTCTTATATTTCTTAACTTATTTGGTTGTATCTTTCCTGAGCATATATGAATTCATGCTTCTTATCATCGTAATGTGCTAAGATAGTTTCTCTATTTGATTGAAAATTTAAAATGTGATTTGCTAGTTACCCTTTTCAGTAAATCTCGAATTGATGTTATCTTGTTGATAATTTTGTAACTATTTCTTGTCCCTGATTATTGCTCCCCCTCCTTTGTGTTTTATTCCTACAGTTATTTAAATGACTAGCTCTTTTAAAGGACAGCTTTACTTAGTATTTTTTCCAACCAAAGTTCAGATATTAACTGGATTATTTGAATCGGCGAAAGTAATGCTGAATGTATCTTTCTCCTCAATGGTGTGTTGTCCAGCTGTGTATTATTCGTAAATAGTGCTAAGGATGTACAAGGCCAGCTGGAGTTGGGCAATTCCTGCTTCTTGTGATGCTTTACTGTTCGAAAGTTAAGGTTTTGGGAGGGAGGAAAAGGGTTTGGTGCTAGGAAGTTATGTTGTATTGGCAATAATTTGTGTTGTTTGGATGGAGATGAACAAGAGAACTTTCAAGGGTGCTAGGGAAAGGGATATGGTTCATTAGCGAGATGCAGTTTGAGTTTGGACTTCCTTGTGGGCTTTCGGTTTCTTTAGAATTTAAGGACTGGTTTTCATGCTATTTATTTTGACTGTACTGCTGTTTTAAATAGTTTTTTTATTTTTTATTTTTTTATTTTTTTTTATTTTTAAATTTGTTTTCAACTGGTTTTCCTTTTTGATATACATTTTGATGGGTGGCATTTAGCGAAGAACTCCTTGTCCCGTGTTGCAAATTTCATTTTTATCCAATAACAGTTTGTGTTTCATTTTGAAACTATATATATCTTGATAAACTTGTTTATGTAAAAAATACGTTGTGATATATTTGATCCATGGAAATTATTAACTTGCTTGTGACTTGATTTTGTATATTCATTACAGGATTTTGGCTTTGTGCAAACAACATCAACTGAATTGTTGAAGTCTTATATATTTAATGAGCCAATTGTTCTCGAATCTACACGTTTATCATCTATTGGCCCTACTGGCCTTTTTATGGTAAGGTGTTATCTAATGATTACGAATTTCAGAAAATTAATGGAACTTAGATGGAATATCGTTTCTATTGTGGTCTTATTGGCATTTTAGTTATTGACTCCCAAAATTGATGCATGCAGCAAGGGACAAAGAGAATGCCTGGAACAGCTGTCACAAAATCAGTTGTTGCAAATGAGCCTGGTGGTAGGAAGAGGGAGGAAATTTTTGTGGATATAATCGAGAAGATTAGTGTGACTTTCAGCTCTAGTGTGAGTATATTTTTCTTACTATTAGATTTAACCACTTTTTCCTCACTGTTATACAGGCATTAAAATATAAGAACAATAGTACAGACACAATAATAAGTTACAGTTTCTAACAAGCAAAATTTGATGCCAATCTTACCCAAGTGTTATCATGAACTTCTTGGGTTTGATATAGAAATCTTGCACTCCCATCTCTTTTGATATCATAGTGGTATATTCAGTGGTTCTTATGAATAAGGTGACACCGTGACAGCGTCTCTATGGCACCTGAAATTCAGCTTATTTGGTTCTTTATAATTAATTTTATATCATGCACAATGGGGGGTTTGTTATGAAGAAATTAGGTGTCCAGCAGTAACTAATTTTAGGATTTTTCGAACTTTCTGAAGGGTTGTTTGAAGGATTAGAATTGTGGATGAACATATAGGTTTTAGGGTTTCAAATGAATGCTAAGGCCTCCTTTGGTATAATGGATTGGATTGGAAGGGACAACTCTCTAAATTCAAGGTATTTTGAAGGCAATGGAGAATGATTCTTCATTTTGAGGGGATTAGAAAAGGATTAGGTATGAAGAAAACTTCTCCCTTCTAAATCCTACCATTTTGGGGAGAATTGGAATGGATAACTTTTCTTCTTGAGTAATCCATCTCCTACCTCCAAGTTTATCACAAATTTTATTTCTTCTTTCAACATACCTTGAAAATAATTGCCTTTTCCATTCCACTCCAATCCTTCATACCAAATGAGGCCTAAAATTCTTGTAAGTCATCTTGAACACTTGTGTCTAGACCCAAAAACTCCTTTGAGGTTCTAGCGCTCGTAACTTTAGCCTCAAAATTTTAGAATGGATAAAATGGATGTAGTACATAAACTTTACTGCAATGCACATTCTTTTGACTTAATTCTTGACTTTTCCTAAACTTAACTATATTTATTCAGTATATGTGGAAACAGTAATATAGTCAATTAGCTCTGCAGTGCTAGTCTATTCTTATCAGGTAATCTTATGTTGCTATACAGGGTTACATATTGACTTCTGAGATTGATGGAACCATTCAAATGAAAAGCTATCTCTCTGGAAATCCAGAAATCCGATTAGCCCTCAATGAGGATCTGGGCATAGGAAGAGGCGGAGGGTCGGGCTATGGTACTTATCTGACATGCCACCGGATTGTTATGTTTTACAAGTTCACAACTATCTTTTGAAAATAAATCTTTTCATATTATGGTGTCATGGAGTTGTTTGTGGTAGTATGGTCAAGTGGATGATCTAATTTTAAAATTTGTAGTTTTATGTTCCCTAGAAAATATCTAGTTTTTAGATTAATAAACTAAAATTTTGAGGTCAGAACCGTCAGATACATGCAGTATGCCCTCTATTCTAAAGAAAGTCCCTGTTTCTTTTTCATGTTTTCAACTGTATGATATTAGTGCCTACAATCATCAACTACAATGCCTCAACATAGCTTTAATTCGTTCACTAAATGCCAAGTCATTTTGTCAAGCTTGTATCTTGTCCTTTCACAATCTCAAATGCTGCTTTCTCTTGCAGACTATAGGAGTTCATTTGGATCAGGAGCAGTGGTACTTGATGATTGCAATTTTCATGAATCTGTACGTCTTGATAATTTTGAAGTAGACAAAACTCTGACCCTGGTAAGTGAAAATGAGTCAGATCAGATTATTCTTTTTTCAATTTAAATGATACTCAAGTAATGTGATATCTTTTGTTGAATGATTATATGGCTGCTCTGTGGTACTAATTTTAGGTGCCCCCTGACGGTGAATTTCCTGTCATGAACTACCGTATGACTCAGGAGTTCAAGCCCCCTTTTCGTATTAATGCGTTGATTGAAGAAGCAGGAGCTCATAAGGTGATCACTGTTTCATAAATTTTATTCAATGTTTTAAGATTGTGAAATTAACTAAAAAAAAATTATTTAGGAAGATAAAGAATCAGATTTTGAACAAGAGAATGAGGCATTTGGCTTACACTATGATGCTGACTTTGTATAATTCATATCATTTAAAGGTCATGTAATTGAGGTAGAAAATTATCATGTAGTTATGGTAGAAAATTACAGTTTGGAATTGCCATTGTAGGCTGAAGTGATTCTGAAAATATATGCCGAGTTCCCCTCGAACATTACTTCCAACACAGTTGCTGTACAAATGCCGCTACCTAAATATACTATCAGGTAACTGTTCACTTAATTTTCGATTGCTAAGAGAATATTAGGTATTGTTCCATGTCATCCTTGTAACAATTGATATAGTGAAAGGGCAACGTTTTTGCATGTCTATTAATTGATGATCAATTTCCATATAAGATTTTCTGGGTACTTTAATTTGCCATTGTTTTTAATTTGTCATTGTTCTTGGTTCTAAAGTTTGTTCAAAATACAAATGTCAGTCTCAATATGATAGAAAACTTTGTTCACTTGGGTTTCATTTTAACAAGTCTTGCTAGGATATTTTTTTACCCCTTTCTCACAGTACATTGGAGGGGAGAGGAAAGAGGAGAAGGAAAGGGGGGGTGTTGTTTGCTGGGTAGGGTACCCATCGCTATCATTCTCTTACTATAATTGCAGACATAACAAATAAGCAAAAAGGGAGGTAACTAGAAAGACTGATTAGACTTCAGCAGGTTGTTGTGAACTTGTAAAGGCAGCAGTTATTAAAACCAACTAAAATATACAGCAAAACATGGTGGTTGTCTTTGAGTAATTGCAAGGACATTCTATAAATAAGAGGACCTTTAACTTCCAGTGTATGAAAAAGGTGTAGACAAGGCTTCATAGTATTCACAGGAGGAGTCAAACTGGCGGACCTTGCTAAAAATTGCATGATAGTGTCTATATGTACTAACCACTGCTTAAACAATAATATATGTTATTTCAGAGCCAGTTTTGAGTTGGAACCAGGAGCAGTTGGACAAACAACAGACTTCAAGGATGCCAATAAGAGACTTGAGTGGGGATTAAAGAAGGCAAGAATTTCTCATCCATGATCTCATTTGTTCACGTTATTGAGTTTTGAGTAGTGATTTTAGCAGTGTTAAACTTTGTCCCATTATTGCATATACTATATTGACAAGTTCAAACAACAGATTGTCGGTGGATCTGAACATACGCTACGTGCCAGACTCACATTTTCCCCTGAAGTACATGGTATGACCTTCATTGATTGGGTTTAGTATCTCCTTGATTACTTTCAAAATGATGCATATTTAATGTTAATCTCATTATATATACATATTCATGCGTCACATACTCAATGCAGGAAACATAACAAAAGAATCTGGTCCAGTTAGCATGACATTTACAATACCTATGTATAATTCTTCAAGACTTCAGGTAAGCCATTGTCATTACTTTCATTCTTACCTCGTTAAAACCATGCAACGGATGTTGATTATGGTTAAAATACTCATCATGGATCATGTTAAATCCTTTCTTTTCATGCTGTTGCTGATTTGTGTTGGACTTGAAGGGGACATTATGGGTCGAATATGTGAGTTGAATGTAGCTCCAGATTTTGGATCCCTATCCCAACTAAATCTCGACTCGACTATGGCAAGGCCTTGAGTCCTTGACATAGTCTAAAACAAGTTTCTTTTCTAAATCTTATAATGAGGATTGGTTTTCGAATGAAGCTATAAAGGTGGATCATTTTCTGAAAAACCCCTAGGTTACAATGTCATTTCTGATGAAGCATATGCATTGTGCAATAGAAGAGGTCAGCTTTGTTCGTGTGCGATAAAAATGTTCCCAACGACTCGTTTGAGGCTGATATGTACAGCTTTAGTGATTCTTCCGGGCCAGGGAGGCATCAGCCCTGGTGCCTCAGAGAGGTCGTCATTAATTTGTCTAATACCTAGCTCTCATCCTATACAAAGCTCTTCATCCTCTGTTGTCTTGCGCAGTGAGGCGAATGGATTTTCCCTGCTAAGTATGCCTGAGATGCAGAGTTATCACTACCTTTTAACATTACTGGCCCCCGCCATTTAACAATGTTGTCCCCCCGGTCTTTTTTCAGCTTTTAAATAGAGTATAATAAAATACTAAGGCCATTTTATAGGGGATGTGTCGACAGTACATCAACATGTTGGTTTATGTGTTGAAGATTGGATAGCTAAGCTCTGTTATTTATCTCCAATTTTTGCCTATGAATATGCTGAGTTAAATGTTTTTTCTCTGATGCAGGTAAAGTACTTGCAGATAGCAAAGAAATCTGGGACTTATAATCCATATAGGTGGGTAAGATATGTTACTCTCGCCAATTCATACGTTGCTCGGATATGATATGAGGAAACCTCATCTGTTATGCCATTTCGCGGTGGAGGAATTGGATTTGGAAAGCAAACGGTTCTAGCTGTTGTAAGATGTCTAATGAAACCCTCTCTCTCTCTATTGTTTTTTCGGTGGGTTCGGATTTCAGTGATTTCATTTCTCGACGAACATTTAGGTTGTATCACTGAATTTTTTTGAGCTGGACTATTCATTCATTGAATTGCTCCTTGTGGATTGGCTGTTTATTAACTGTACAAATGCACTCAAATTGCAACCAGTAAGAGTTTTTGTTACTTTTGATTTATATTTTCCCGGGTCTGAGTATGTTGTTTTTAAGAAAATTCTGCCCAGAACATTTGGGAGTGATGACAATGTAAGTTTCGTATGAACTTCTGCCGTATCTGTCTGTTATATGCACCAACCTCCAGTCTGCTTAACAACCAAAAAAACAGTCGACGGTGGATAAACAGCAGTGCTTTTGTTTTCATCTGATATTATATCGAAATGTTGAACTTATAGCCGTAAAATGTAGACGTGATGGTATTACAGTAGGCCGTCGCAGCAATATTTGTTGAGTAGTGTTATTCGTACACTTATTTTTACTTCTCTTACATCCTTCTCAATTTTGTCCGTCTGATCCAGTAAACTGAAGAAGATGAATAGATGAAAACTAACAAAACTGTCTTATTTGTTTCCCTGCACAGATGAACAGTTATACCGTGAACCCAACCCATGGCTGTATATTCAAGGTGCCACTGTAGATAATTTAGCCCATGGTTGACAGAGGTTTTGTTTTTAGTTTTTGGTTTCTAGTTTTCATCTTTTGTGTTAGTGGTAGTGAGGAAAATATATGAGGAGAAAGACATATGGAATGAGTTCACTGCTACCGTAGTGTCCCGTTTCCAAAAACCATGATATGTGTAAGTTTTTCAACACATGACACTATATTATTGAATCGGGATACTACGTGGTAATGAATTCGTTCCATGTAAGTTGCTCTCGCAGGTGAGGGATGTGGAAGAGTTGAAGAATTGTGGGAGAGGTGTGTTTGGGCTAGCAATGAAAATTAGGCTTGTTTAGGGCCAAATAATTTCTATTTCTTCTTAAGAATACGAGTTGAGCTTCGTTGTGCCAATTTACAGCCAATCTATGAAAGCAAAAAACAAACAAGGTTCCTCTTCTCACCCAATGTAAGTCATAGGAGAGCTCATAAAAAGGATCTTCAACTCTCTCAACAAATTGAGACGTTGAGAGAGCCATCGATCTGCTTATGGCGCAATTGTTTGGTTTAGAAGTTAATTAAATTCGCAACATATATCAGCACTCACTTTCTCTGTATGTTGGTAGCATCCAACACTGGCATGCTCACTTACACCTTTCTCTTGTGGCTCCTTTTGTCATTGAGAGAAAAGAATCACTTGGGGGTTAAGATTTTCTATAACCAACAAGATTTCAAAGAATTGTACAAGGAGAACTTTGACGCCACTAGAACTATGCATGTAAGAGAAAATCTCTCACGTACCTAGGACTGTAGGCGGTAAATACGGGAATCCATCATTCCTAACAAACTATAAAAAGTTATGTAATGATTCAAGTAAAATTAAAGAAAAAGCAAAGAAGCCATAATTTAAAAGGGTTGATCTTTTTTAATTCATTCAATCTGACAGCTGAAAATTAAAAAATTTCATAAAATACAAATAAATGTGTCGATAACACCGAATTAACTTAGAATTTGGCAGGTGCAATTAACTTGTTTTAACACTGATGGATTAGATGCTTGCGACTCTTCTAAATTTTACTTTTGCTTTTTTACTTAAGGCAAGTAATCTACGTCAAAAATCAAGCAGCCCCCACTTTAACCTTTATGACCCTTTAAAATTCGACTCTTTTCCAAGGGGACAAGGATTATTTCTCTGTTTTTTTCTCCCTTTCTATTTGAATGTTCATGAATTTATCTTTGTAAAGAGAGAAGAATAAAAAACTGTGAGAGCAGGGAAGAGAAGGGAGAGAAAAAGGGAGATAAGAGAATCCCCATCCAACTCAATAGACCTTGAACTAGGAGGCGGCTTAGTAGGATAGGACAGGATAGCTTTCTAGGAGGAGTCATCTTTTGAAATATTTACGTTTGATTTAAGTTGTGTCCTTTTAGCTTGAAAAAAATGAACGGAAATATTCTTACCCGCTAACTTGGACCAACTTTAATCTAGTAAATAATTTTTGCTACAATGGGACAGTGTCACTATCGTGATCATCATGTATTCAATAATGTTTTTTAAGAGTGCCAACAAGGGTCTATTGAGTTGCTAGATATCGTTTTCTTTGTTAGGTTAAAGTTCAGATTCGAATTTCATTGATGAGCGATCTGTAAAACTAAAGAAGGGGCTAGGACTCCTTTATTTTTTTATGAAACAAATGATATTATCTATATTAAAGATTAAAGTCTAGATTCGAATTTCATTATCAATAAATTTTTTTGATGAGCGATCTGTAAAACTAAAGAAGGGGCTAAGACTCCTTTATTTTTTTATGGAACAAACAATATTATCTACACTAAAGGTTAAAGTTTAGTTTTGAATTTCATTATCAATAAATTTTTTTGATGAGCGATCTGTAAAACTAAAGAAGGGGCTAAGATTCCTTTATTTTTTTATTGAACAAACGATATTATCTACACTAAAGGGGTGGGGGAGTAAGCTAAGTCTCATAATGAGTTAACAATAATGTGGTTCAAATTCGCCTTTCGCGAGAATCAAACCTAAGACATCTCACTTACCAGTGAAGAAGAATATCACTAGACAGGAGTACTAAGTGGTAAGACTTATAGTGCCCTAGGATAGGGTAGCCTCCCCTCCCCTAAATGTTTTTTTGAAAAAAAAATATTCATAAGAGTGAGAGGTTTTAGGTTCGATTCTTGCCAAAGATAAATTTGAACCACATTATTGCTAACCTGCTAGGAGGCTTAGCCCACTCTCTCACTCCCTTAATGTAGATAATAGTGTTTGTTAAAAATAAGAGTGATGGCATCACATACCCTTCTATTATTGTGATGAATTATTTGAGAGGGATTGTAATGAATTAAGTTGAGAGGGCGCCTATTAACAATATATAGTCTGCAGAGTCTAGAGCCGACCGCAAGGTTCGAGAGTCAACGATGAGCATCTTAGCAAATCACATAATTAAAGAAGTTTTGTTTTGATTGTCTTGGGCTGTGATGTTTTTTTTTGTTTCTATAAACTTATAAACTTATAAGTGGGAGGAAAATATTGGCGTTTAGAATTATCAAGGGTGAGATGAATAGGTTCGATTTGGATTGCCACTCAAGAACACAGTAACGAATTTAATTTTATCCTGTAAAACAATGTAGAGTTGTGTAAATAACTTGCAGCTTAGTTGACTACGCGTTCAGTTCCCCTTCTCTCAATATCGCTTGCAAAACGAAACAATACATAAGGAGTTGCAAATGGGTTGGGAATCTTTTCTTAAGTTAAAAAATCAGGGATCGATCTAACTGACAGTCTCGTTGGAGCCAAAGCTTGTACACTGTCAAGGGTTTATGAAGAAGACAAAGAAGTACAAATTAAATGGCGATTTTGGATGTACCGGCTTCTTCTGGCTGCAACTGGCGATCGAAGAGACTAGACTCTTATCAATTCAACCAGTCAACGTAAACAATTAAACAATCCAAAAGGATGCCTGTTGAATTCAAATCCTCATCAACTAGCAGTCTAGTAGTACAAACAACTGTTTCTTATTGACCCAAAAAACATCATCTTCTTCTGACTCTGAAGGATGTCGTGCAATGGATGTTCAGCGTGTGGTATGGTGATATAAAGCAAGTTGGAATTTTATTTTCATTTTTTGTCTGAATCCTTGTATTCCTAAAATATTAGGAGAGCCCGACTGCACATCAAGAGTCAGATCGTGGCTGCCAAAAACGACCTACGTCTTACTCTGCTTAGAGCAATTGAAAGGAGCCATGCCATCAATAAAACATATGTAACATCCCACATCGTCCAGGGGGTGATCTTTATATGTATATTTCCATCTCTACCTAGCACGAGGCCTTTTGGGAGCTCATTGGCTTCGGATTCCGTAGGAACTCCGAAGTTAAGCGAGTAGCGCGTTAGAGCAATCCCATGATGGGTGACCCACTGGGAAGTTGCTCGTGAGTTCCCAAAAACAAAACCGTGAGGGAATGGTAAGCCCAAAGCGAACAATATCATGGTAAGCCCAAAGCGGACAATATCGTGCTACGGTGGTGGAGCGAGTCCGGGAAGTGGTTCTCCCCGGAGCCGGGATGTGACAATATGGTATCAGAGCCTAACCCTGGCCGTGGTGTGTTGACGAGGGCGTCGGGCCCCTAAGGGGGGTGGATTGTAACATCCCACATCGCCCAGGAGAGTGATCCTTATATGTATATTCCCATCTCTACCTAGCACGAGGCCTTTTGGGAGCTCACTGGCTTTGGGTTCCGTAAGAACTCCGAAGTTAAGTGAGTAGCGTGTGAGAGCAATCCCATGATGGGTGACCCACTGGGAAGTTGCTCATGAGTTTCCAAAAACAAAACCGTGAGGGAATGGTAAGCCCAAAGAGGACAATATCGTGTTATGGTGGTAGAGCGGGCCCAGAAAGTGATCCGTCCCGGACCGGGATGTAATAACATACCCCTTTTCGGGCGCATCTCAATGTACTTGAGTCAAGAAAATCCAATTAATTATTAGAAAGGTTACAATTCTCTAACAAAGAAATTAAGAGTAAATTTAGAGGTTTCTCGGACGAAGTTTTAAGTGTCGATAGACATCCTGAATTGAGCCAAAAGATTTGACACTTAGCTTGTTGCTGGATGTAGTGAAAAAGTGGTAGAATTAAAATGCACCACTAAACCCCATCCTAATAAAAACGAAAAGTGAGGCTAAGAGAGAGATTATATATAATGAAAAGCACGTTGTGCTAAAATTATAAAATCATTGTATATTCATATTATGACATGTAGATTATAATACAACATGTTCTTTGAATATTTTTTAAGAATTTGGAATGAATAGTACTATACAGTGACATATTCATTATTCACTGTGTTTAGTTGTTTATAATCATGTGTATAAACTACAACCTAGATCTTTCTCATTTTTTCTGAATATTGTTTGTTTAAAAACCAAATTAGGGTTTGACATCGAGGTTCTTTTGTTGACAAATTCTAAACAAAAACAAAAAAGGAAATTAAAAGGGTAAATGACAAAAAACGACCTCAACTATGGGTCGAACAATACTTTCATACCTCATTTTTTAAAAATGACAATGTCGTACCTAATCTGACGAATTTAGTCCAATGTTAGACCTCCGTCAGTTTTTCTGTTAATTTCTCTGTTAAGTGCTGACGTGGCTAGAGACGGGACCCACTTACTAATCCAACTGGATTAAAAATTAATTAAATATATCTTTAATAATTAAATAATAAAAAATAAAAAATAAAATTATTTTTTGTATAAAATTGTGGGATCCACCTCTACAAATCCTTCCCCACCGGTCCCCCAACCTACCTCCACCACCCTCTATCTATCCTTTCTCTCTCTCTCTCTCTCTCTCTCTCTCTCGCCTCTCTTTTTTCTCTCCTTGCAACCTGCATCCCCAAAACCCAGAAACCCTTCCCACCCGCCCCCCCCAACATTCCTCCACCACCAACCCTCTCTTTCTCCTTTCTCTCTCTCTTTCTCTCTCTCGCCTCTCTCTTTTCTCTCCCTGCAACCTGCATCCCCAAAACCCAGAAACCCTTCCCACCCACCCCCCAACCTTCCTCCACCACCTACCCTCTCTTTCTCCTCTCTCTCTCTCTCGCCTCTCTCTCTTCTCTCTTTCTCTAGGCAACATGCATTCCCAATCCATCATTAAATATCCATTTCGCGTTTCACACTACAAAGTTCCCTACTACAAATTTCTAATCTTACAAAATGAATACTAATTCAAGCGGTATTAGGTCGGACATTTTCCAATTCCTTCAAATTCCTCAGAAATTCAACTGTACACACTTTCTCTATATATACACACAATAGGGCTAGCTAAGAACTAGGTGCTAGCGAAGAACTAGGTGATTGATACCCACAAACCACACAAACCCTAACCCCAAAATCGACCACAATTGAAGCAAGGCCGAAATGGAATAACAGATAAGGAGCTGGAGATTGGGAAGAAAGAGTGAGGGAGTACCTTACGGGGCATGCACTCGATGGAGCGTATCTGGTTTTTGAGGGTGGCAAACTTGGGCTTCTTCTCTCGGCCCAAGGTCGACTTGGACCGACGTTCAACGGGGTTCACTCGTCGCTTGCTGTAGCCACCGTGAGCCATGGCGTTACCTCTCCAAATAATCGTAGAGATTAGAGAGAGAGAGAGAGAGAGAGAGAGAGAAAAAGAGAATGAATGTCTCTGATTTGGGGCTAAGGATTAGAGAGAGATAAGGAATGTGTCTGATTTGGGGGTGGGCTCGGGTGAGGAGATGGGGGTGGGGAGATGGTGTGTGTCTGATTTGGGAGTGGGCTCAGGTGGGGAAAAGGGGGTGGGGAAGACGAACTGGTCTTTTTTTTTTTTGGTGTACATGAACAGGGACCAGCTGGAGGAGTTGCGGGTGAAGCCATCGTCGACCTCCTTGGCATCGAAGAGGGTGATTGGCAAGTGAGGATGGCGGTGGAAAAGTGGGTTCTGATTTTGGTGGTGAAGGAAGGTTGGGGGAAATGGGTGGGAAAGGTTTCTGGGTTTTGGGATTTTGGGGATGCAGGTGCCCAGAGAGAGGAGGAGAGAGAGAAGAGAGAGGTGAGAGAGAGGGGGGAGAGAGAGAGAGGGTGGATCCCACAATTTTAGATAAAAAAATAATTTTATTTTTAAATTTTTAATATTTAATTATAAAAAATATATTTAATTAATTTTTAATCCAGTTGGATTAGTGAGTGGGTTCCCTCTCTAACCACGTCAGCACTTAACAGAAAAACTGACGGAGGTTTGACATTGGACCAAATTCGTAAGATTAGGTATGACATTGTCATTTTTAAAAGATGAGGTATGAAAATGTCGTTTGACCCATAGTTGAGGTAGTTTTGTGTAATTTACCCAAATTAAAAACCAAAGATGGCAGTAGTGTTGCTTTAGTTTGAGTCCATGGTGAGCATGCCAAATAGCAATGGCAGCTGGTGTGCATATGTAAAAGCTTGCGAGCAAAGGAATGCCATTGGTATATGTTTGTCGGTTGTCTTCATGTGCAACTACTGCATGCCGATACGGATGCTCTTCTAAAATGGTGCACCGACTTGCAAGTTTAGCAGCAAATCTTTGTCGTCTGAACCACACCCCAACTCCCCAACCCCCACTATCCAGCAAACAAGCAAATAAATTAAAGAAAAAGGTATGCTGGTCGCTGGTTGTCGTAGGGAACAATTTATATAGTACGACACCGCTATAGTGTTATTATGTTTTAAGAATACAAAGACATGAGAAGAGAGGAACTAACATATATCTTTGTATCACATGTCTCGACATAAAATGTTACTATGATGGTATACATTTACCGGTTTTTCATCCGAGCGTCCTGAATGAATAAGAAATGAACAACATAGGTAAGGTAATCATTAATTCTTATTCAACCGAGTTGAAGCTAGCAACTTGTCGATTGTGTAAGAGTTTGGTAAGAGCTGGGGTAAATGCCTTCTTAGCAATGGATTCAATTTCTGGTGATGAAAAAAATACAAATTATTCTCTCGTTGTGTGAGCAGTCTAAACAAGATTTAGGTTTTATATAAGCAAAATAATGTCAAGCGAGATGGTGTTAGATATTAAACCTTGATGGCGATGGACACGAGAATGTTCTCCATGGTCCATACATTTTTCTTCCAAAGAAAATAAATACAAGTATTTAATTAAGCAAAATATCCAATAATTCGGAAGACAACTAATTTATATTCCAAAATAGGATAGGAAGGACAAGTCTTGGCCCATGACAGAGGCAGTGTGGTCGACCTAATTTGTTGTTTTGCTTATACATTCGAATTGTATTTAAAATTGGCGAAAAAAGTAACACCAATCTTTTCTGATTTGGGAAAGTGACAAATCCAAAGTTCCAATTTGATCAAGGCTTAAAGCATGCTTCCATCCCTTTGAAGCTCCAATTTAGCACATGAACTTTGAGTCTCATGTCATGACATGAACTTTGAGTCTCATGTCATCTCTTTCTTAATTTTCAATCTTTGTGTGCTTTAGGGTGAAGAAATCTTGGAGTCAAAGTAAGTGAATTGAGAGAGATTTAAAACGTGTCATTCTTCTGGAAGGATTTTTCTTAATAACGATATTATTTTCATCCAAAATATTATCCCATAATGGCGGATTATTTCTTATTTATTTCTATTTGTACATGGCCATGTATCATGTTATATGGTTACTTTATGTGTGTCTATTTTACACGACGATCTCTACAACTATGTGTCAAGCCATCTCCAGGCCAAAATTGTAAGCCATTTTATCCCGCAAATGTGCAATTCAAGTAGAGGGGTATATCCTAGTCAACAGAACGGCTATAAGTAGCCTTCTCGTTGACTTCTTATCTAACAAAGGTTTTTGTAGAGGTTCCGTTAGGCTTCTTCTATCTTCCTGCACTTTCTAAATACAGTAACTATTATTGTACAACCTTGTACTAGAAGAGATGGAAAAGAAATAGTTGAGGTTAAATGTAAAAAATAATATTTTAAAAAATTGAATCACAATCCGCCGTATTTTTTATTCTTAAACTGCTCATGACCTCATGTCATGTGATGATTCATATGTTAATCTTTTTTGATAAATAATAAAATTTAAAATCAAATATGCACAACTATACGTTATTCCATATAACGCTGGTATCTCTTTTCACAAGGAAAATTATGTCTTATCTTTCATTATATAGTAATATTTTAAAGAAAAAAATATACGAATTTTGTTTAATTAAGTTTGTTGTTTTTGTTATTTAATCCGATTTTCAAAAGATAACGAATAATAGTCAGTGTTGAAAATTACTGAGCATGAGAAAAACAACCTAGTAGGAAGTTGGCTAATGCTAATTGTAACGTAACTAGTGAGAGAGAGAGAGAGACTGAAAGGCATCCCCCATTGCCCAAAACCATAAGCATCAACGCCAGTCGCTTTCAATCCGTTCGGTCGGGAAGGAAGGCCCTCAATCACTCCTCTCTCTCTCTCTCACTCTCTCTCTCTAACTTTGAACAAAAGAATAGTAAGGCGGTGCCAGACACCTTGAGCTAAACCAATACCCATTCTCTTTTCATTTTCCTGAATGACTGCTCTCTCTCTCTCTCTCTCTCTCTCTCTCTCTCTCTCTCTGTGATGTGTGGACCCTACCCAAACAGCGGCACCATTGGTCTTTACTTGGTTTCCAAGCTCACCCACCACCCCCTCTCTCTCTCTCTCCTCTCTCCTCTCTCTCTCTCTCTCGCTCTCTCTAGTCTCTACAGTCTGCACTGCATGCATAGCCATATCCATATCATAACATTTCATCCTCATCCCATATATTTATTATAAATAAATCCAAACACCACCTCACCCCATCTCTCTTCCACTTCCTCCTCCTCCTGCCCCCTCCCCATCAACTTCATAACCCCCTAAATCCTCCCTCTCCTTCCTCTTTATTTTATTCATTTCTCTCCCCAAAAACCCAATAAATCCCAAAAATAAAAAAGAAAGAGAGAGGAAGGATAAACAAATATGAGAGGTGAGTATGTTGACAGCAAGAGTGACTCCCAAAACATCTTCTCCAAGCTTCACCACCCAAACCAACAAAACCCCCACCACCAACACTTACACCACCACGCCCACCAATTCTCCAGCCCCTTCCAAGTCATCCCCCTCCGCGAATCCCAAACCTCCGAAGAAGAAGACACCAGCCGAACCAGCAGCGGCACAGCCACCATCACCACCACCAACCCATCTCCCCACAATCCCCACCCCAACTCCTCCTCCGACCCCAACAACATCAACAACCCATCTGCCGATGGCGCCACCATTGAAGTCATCCGACGGCCCCGAGGCCGCCCACCTGGCTCCAAAAACAAACCCAAGCCCCCCGTCATCATAACTCGCGATTCTGAGCCTCCAATGAGCCCCTACATTCTCGAAGTGCACTCCGGAAACGACGTCGTCGAAGCAGTCTCCCGCTTCTGCTCTAGCAAAAATATTGGGCTCTGCGTTCTCACCGGCTCCGGAACCGTGGCAAACGTCACCCTTCGCCAGCCGTCAACTACGCCAGGCGCCACCGTAACTTTTCACGGCCGTTTCGACATCCTCTCCATATCCGCTACTTTCCTCTCCCAATCGTTGCCGTCTTGCCCCGTCTCCAACCCCAGCGGCTTCACCATCTCTCTGGCGGGCCCGCAGGGCCAGATCGTCGGGGGCCTCGTGGCCGGAGCCCTAATAGCCGCAGGAACCGTTTACCTAGTCGCCGCGTCGTTTACCAATCCTTCTTACCATCGGCTCCCCGTGGAAGACGAGGTGGTCAGGAACTCGGGTGAGGGTGAGGGTCATTCGCCGCAGGTTTCTGCGGGTGCAGCAGAGAGTGGGGGACACGCGCCGCAGCCGTCACAAACGTGTGGGATGACCATGTACAGCGGTCACTTGCCTACTGATGTAATATGGGTTCCAACTGCAAGGCAACCACCGCCTCCACCGCCTTACTGAGAACCTTGATGTCTCTCTTATTCGCCTTTTTTGTATTCTGTCTCTAGTTACTGTGAATTAAGAAACGAGAAGCTACTTTTATTGTTTTTTTTTGTAACTTTGGGTACTTTACATTTTAAATTTCTTGTTTAATTTCTATGTGAATTACCGTTGGTATTCTATGCGATTTTGGTTGTGTGTTTTCATGCAGGATTTTAATGTGACGTTAGAATTTAGAAAGCTGTTTTTCCTATTAATTAATTATCATTTGGTACTCTTATTTTGTCACCTGTTTATAATAGAAATAGTTAAGGAGCTGTTATTGACACTGATCATTAGTCATTGTTCGCGCTTCTCTCCTAATTTGAAACGTGAAACCTGAAGCATGATTATTGTAAAGTGTTAATTACAGTTATTTATAACTATTTTAGAGTGCTAATTACTCTTGTTATTCTATGTGATTTTAGTTATTGTTTAGATGATTATCTGTTAGTGTTTGATTTAAATTTTGAAGGGGGATATCAAACCATGCAGGAATTTTATGTGAATTTTGAAGCTGTTTTTGTTATTAATTAATTACTATTTGGTTCTGTAATTTTGTCAAATGTAAGTTATAAATTAGTGAGTGGTTGTTGACACTCTAAAATAATTATCCTTCATGCTTCTCTTGTAGTTTTCAAATGAAAACTGAAACGGAAAACGTAAAACATGACTATTTTAGAGTGTTAATATTTTTCGATGACTGTTTTAGAGTGCAATACACTAGTGTTTTCAGTATGGTAGTTAATGAATGTGGCAGTTATGTTACGGTCAAATGTAAGTTATAAGTTTTCAGCTGCTTTGAGCCTTTGGGGGGGGGGGGGGGGGGGGGGGACGGCGGGTTGTTGGTGGTCTTTAATGGGGTCTGGACCGGCTCTTTGCCTCTTGCCTCTTGGGCGATGTCAAAAGTCGAAGTCGAAATTCAAAAGTGCTGTTCTTTTTGGCTTTTGATTGGTTTTGGAGAGAGAGAGGGAGAGGTATTGGCGGTTTGTGGCTTTTGATTGCTTGAAGTTTAGAGCTGATTGCTCAATGGCTTGATGGGAAGGATGAGTTTCCTATGGGTGGGAGTACACTATTTGATTCCGATGCTTAGCTGTTTTCTGCTCTGGCTTTCTGCAGAAGCAGAAGCACCACTGGCTCATCAAAGATAATGCCTGATTTTTTTTTTCTTTGAATTTTTCTAGATTCTGGATTTGGATAGAGTGTATGACAGTGATGAAACGTGGCTTAGGGTTTGTCATTTGCCAGTCCAGTCGGTTCCTTTTCATACACGCACTTTCTTTTATCCAACAGCTACTTAAAGGAGCATTTTTCTCACCATCACACATCTCATCGTAACGAGATGTATAATGAGCTTACATTATAGTTATAGTGATGAGGAAAAATGCTTCCGTTACTTAAATGGTCTCTTCATGAATAGTATAAGACCATGTTAATAGTGAATCTCAAAGAAACGTTGCATACGTTTAGGAGTTATTCTGTTTAAAGAGAACTCTTAAAAGAAGAACATAACCTATTGTGATGTTCCGTATCACCTATAGAACAATTTGTACAAATTTTTCTTTACAAAAATTTATATTGACACAAGACGACACGATGATTAAATCTACTGTGCCATGAACTTGTAGAACTTGGTCACTACGTCATGAATTAGTATAATTATCGATTCACGATCAGATGTGTTGTAATTATATTTAAGGATTATATCTAATTATTTATGAGTGATTTTTTCTTAAGAAAATGAGATCAGCTGGTAGTTTTGCCACGATAATCCATCTTTTTTAAGGTTTGATATATCCATAAAAGCATTTCAACCTCTCTATCCATTATCTTGCAATTCATCAACATCAAAATTCAAATTGAAGACATACCATATGAAATAGTGCCTTCTCCTATGACTTTATATTTTCTCCATATTGGTTTTTTTTTTCAGTCAAATATGTGTGCGTACTTTGTGGTTTGTCACCATTTTACTGTGCTCCCCATCCTTTCCTTGATGGGAAAAAGCAACATAATGAAAGCCAAAGCATGCTGGCTCTTCCCGAGCCTCACAAAAACCATAATATTTCACGTTTTCTTTTATGTTTCTTCATTCTTGGAAGAAGAAGAAGAAGAAAACAGAAGTTAGAACCACTTTATTTCATGTCATGTTTTGCAGCTGTTGCAAAAGTGCAAATCAGTGTGGAATCTTCAATACTTTCTGCTTGAACTGATCACATGAAATAATTGAACGTGGGCGACTCATATTGTCCATGACGTTTTTATTGTTGGATTTTGAATGAAATTTCAATTCAAATGTGGGGTATTATTAGAAATTTTGAACAGAAATTTTATTATTTCACATTGGTCATTGTCAAAATGAGCATTTTTGCTCACCATCATTTAGTGCGGTGTATGCTCACCACCTTATTCATCACCGTTAGATGAGTTTGAATTTCAAGATTCGTGTAGTAGATAAGTACAAATCTCAAAATTCAAAATCATCTAATGGTAATAAATTGGGTGGTGAGCAAAAATGCACTCATTCCCAAAAGGATTCCTCACTTTACAAGGCTTTGTCCTTTATAGATAGTGATTGGAGTGAAGGACCATAGAGAAAGAAATTGAGTTTAACCTTGGAGTTAGGCTTTGGGGTGTACTAATTAATTGATAATTAATTAATAATTAACATATATAATTAATTATCAAAAGATAGGCTTGGGGCTCTGAAGCTTAAATTCTTTAATTAATTATTTTTAATTATTTTTGAATTTAATTAAATTATTTTTTATATGAACAGACTCATCTTTTCAGATGAAGTCTGAGAACGTATGAAAATATTTGAGAAACAGATGGAGCAACACACCCTTTGCGTTGAACAGTCGCCTCCCAAAAACATGTCTATTGCGAACAGACATATGCTCACTATAAATACATGCATCTACATATCATTCAATTCACTGAAAATCATTAATCTTTATATACCAAGCATACTGAGAGTACCACAAAGAAATTCGCTAGAAGTCTAGTTTTCCGGTGCAGGAATTCTAACTTAGATCGTTGAATCCTAGTGAAGCAAACGTCCATAGAACTACAAGCATTGAGTAGGGACAAAATTTCTGTTTCAAGGACCTTGTGGTACGCAAGCCTCGATCTTCTGTTTATCTGCTTAAATATTATTTCATTTTGTTTATTCTATGTAATATATTTATTCACATTTATTATTAGCATATTTAAGTTTATCACATATTGTTGACATATATCCAACATTTATGTGTGTCTTGAAATGTTTGTATTCACAAATTATACATTGGCAATTCCAATTAGGAAAAAGCCAGTCGATTTGTGCTCGAGTTTCACAGAACTGAATCGGGAGATTTCTTTTGAAATCTCTTCTATAGATTTTTCTAACAATGAGAAGAGAAATCTCGTTAAACTAATAGTTAATTAAATGTTGGTTTTTTTTTATCATGATTGACTTTAGATGTTATGATTTCAAAAACATTTCATGTCAAGAAATTGGTTACTAGAGAGAAAAAAAGAACTTGAGAGAGTTTGAGTAGCAAGCGGCAATTACCATTTATAATTTTTTTTTATTTTTTTATTTTTGTCTACCATCATTTTTCTGATTTAATGTTATTTATATGAAATAAATTGATTTTTGGCTTACAGTTTATTATATTGGAGAGTTAGATATGGCTAATGTGGATCCATTTGATACCGAATGTGTAGGTAATGTGGATGGATTTGATGCCGAATGTGCAAGTGATAAGAAATTGGATGTACTAAAAGTACATTAAGGGCTCATTTCAGAGTAAACTTTATCACAATATGAGAACATGTGTCGTGCTCAAACTTAACGGCTATATGTGTTCCAATATAATTGAATTATGTGTGAGTTTTTTAGGTGGTGTATTAGGGATTATGGCATCTTAGTGTCATAATTTATAACGGTCCAACTACAACAAAAATTAATGGGTCAAAAACCAAAAAGATTATTAGTAATAATAATTTGTAAAATTTGTAGTATTTTATAGCTAGTAGGAGTTCCAACTTTAAAGCTTTGAATAATAAAGCTTAATAAAAAAACTATAGTGTGTTGGACAATTGCTTTCATGCAATCTGTTGACTATGGCCTACGGCCATATGCATTCATGTGAAAGTGATTTTAAAATGATCAAAACGTTTTTTGTAAAAATATTTTTGAAACCAATTTTTAGTAAAAACGTAAGTGAATTCTAAAAATAAGCATTTAAAGTGCTTTTAAAACAAAAAATATTATATCTAAAAGCGCTCCAAGTATTTCAAACGAACCCGTAGTAGTATTGAAATTTGAAAAATAACTTAAGGTGAAATTGTTGTATCATGTCACTATGTTGATTCATACTCGTCGACTCGCCGTGATGATATTGCAAGTGCATTGAAATTTGAATTCGTTTACAAAGATTTCAATTGTCAAATATGAAATTTATGATAGGAAAATATTTGCATACATCTCATGGGGCGCACCACCTTACTCACCCCTTGCAATTAATATCATATTTCTACTTATTCATTTTTTTCAACTTTTATAATCAGAATATTGTCATTTCTTGATAATTATTTATATTGGTTGAACAAATAGATGGTGACACATCCCGGTCCGGGCCTCCATCACATTCCGGGCTCTACTTCACCATAGCACGATATTGTCAGCTTTGGGCCCCGACCATGCCGTCACGGTTTTGTTTATGGGAACTCATATGAGAACTTTCCAGGGGATCACCCATCCTGGGATTACTCTCGCGTGAACTCGCTTAACTTCGGAGTTCTTACAGAATTCGAAGCCAGTGAGCTCCCAAAAGACCTCGTGCTAGGTAGAGATGAGAATATACATATAAGGCTTACATGATCCATTCCCTTGACGATGTGGGATGTTATAGATGGTGTTGGTACTAAGTAACATATTTAAATAAACAATTCAATTATTTGATACATACATGATAATTAAATGATTTATGTTTTGATTATTTTTTGTAGAAATGATCTTGAAAGATGATCATGAAATTAAACAATAATGTTGTTGGTACTAAGTAACATATTTAAATGAACAATTCAGTTATTAAAAAATCAATGATAAAGATTAAATGCAAGTATTGTCTAGACATAGTACAAACCAAGGGTTCCAACAATATCAATATTGTCCCTA